TATTTCGACTGTGAGATGATTTTAAACTGTTTTTTAAAAATAATAAATAAATAAACAAATAATCATAATTTTTTATTTAAAATTATTGATTTTGAGTTAATTTAAAACATAAAGAATAAAGAAAATTAGTTCGCTATCAATTGAAATGGAAGTTAATTGAGCTGTGACGACTTGTTAACCCCACACATTTTGTTTTGACTTATTTTAGCCGTGATGACTTGGTGATTCAAAATTTATTTTATCGAAAAATTTACAATAATGGAAATAATAAAATGAAACTTATTTTAAAAGGATTAGCTGAGTTGAGACAACTTGTTAATCCTACGATTATCACTTCAGATTATTTTAGCCACGACAGTTTGATAGTTCGAAATCATCAAATCCAAAACTTTCAAATGATTTTCTTTAAAGGGTTTTATAAGAGTTATGTTGTAGGAAAATTGATTGTGTAATGTTATAGAGATTCGTATTGCGTGCCGTAATTTCTTTTTTTCTTTTTTCTTCAAAAAGTGTGGGCCCCACAAAATGTTGTGTGTATAGGAGTTGTGTCATGTTAAATGACAAATGCAAATCCCTTCGTTAAAACTACTTTCAAAATTAAAATCAATCAACACACAAATATTTTCTACAGAACGATGTAGCTTTGAGTTTCCTATTGTACTGAGGAATACGTCGGAGCGGGACTCTTCCCGTCAAGCACAAAAAATAAATTTTCAAAATTAGTTTTCTTTTACAACAATCATTCTTATTTTATTTCTTAGGATAAAATAAATATTTAAAATCTTATCAATAATTCGCACAATTAATATAAGGTAACCATTTTTTAAAACGGACGGTGTAGGGTGCTAATACCTTCCCTACTCGTAATCGACTCTCGAATCCATTTCTGTTTTCAAAGACCAGTTTTCTTTAAGAAAAGGTTTTTTCCAATGTTTTCCTAAATAAACCTTGGTGACGACTTCATTGTTTTAATCATTCAATTTATTTTTCGTCGTCACGTCGCGATCCGGTTGCGAAAATGTTACATTGAAAAAAATTAACAATTAAAATTTAATGTCAAACTTAAGTCAAAGGATTCTATCCCTATATATATATATATATATATATATATATATATTAAAAAATCCAAAATTTAGGGAGGGGTGGTGGCCAACCCTAGTCCCTCCCTAAGTCCACCTATGCCCATGTGCGCACAAGCATCACACTCGCACACGCACATGTGCATGTGCAAGCATACACATACACACATGTGCGCTTACACACAAAATAATAATTTAAAAATAAAATTTTCATGATATCAATATTTATTTAAATTTTTTATTATACTTAAATAATAAACTTTATTTGAATGTTTGATAAATATAAAGTGGCCAAGTTTACAGTTGCGCTTTTGTCACACAGGAATGAAAATAAATATGTAAAATTATTAGGGAAAGTGTAAGTTCTGAAGCTTTTAGCGGAAAAATGGAACTGCACCCCCAAATTGGTTTGAATTCAGAGATATAGACGGTTTGATAGGAAGCTTGAATGGTAAATTGGGAATCACACCTACGAGACATATTCATCTATTTAATGGATTGAGAGTTGTCCCAAAACCATTCTGGTACAATGTCTATAATCGTAGGTGCACCGTACCCATGTAGCGAAACAAACAACAATCATCCTTCATTGGATCTATGCAAACCAAATTACATTTTTAAAAGGCCATTTAATTCTATTCAAGCTAAGTGTGTCCCACAATCAATGACATTAATTGGAATAAATTCAAATGGTTGAAATTAATGACAGTGACAAATCAAATGATCTTTCCGGTAGCTGAATACAGATGGAGCAGTTGAGAGTCCGACTGAGGATTTCAGACACATCGTTCTTCTTGATGTTGTCACGATGTTCTTCTGGAGTGGTCTTTCCGGTCATCAGCTACTGGCGTTTTCTAGCCTTCTCTTTCTCTTCTACAGTGAGAGAAGCATCATTCTCCACAGCTAACATGGCAGCAATCAGGAGGAGTTTCGCATGGAGGCGGTAATGCTGGCGACGGAGAATGATAAACCGGTGGCGGTGAACTACAATGAACAGGAGGTGGTGGTGAACTATAATAAACAGGGGGTGGTGGTGGCGGGGAGCTATATTGGAGAGAACTTGCATTGGAGGGAAGAAGAGAGAGAAACGTTAGTAACGATATTGGAGCCCCACTAACAGAAGGATTAACATGGGCATAATTTAAAAAAATTAGGGACCACGAATGACCTTTTTTTTTTCTAGGGACTAAAGTGAGCATCGTGAAATTTACTGAGGATCAAAAAGGTATTTATTTATTTTTAAGCCAGAAAATCATTTGACACCGAAGTTTGATACCAAATTTTAACCATTAATTTCTGTCAATCTAACGATTCTAATTTATTAATAATTAATTAATAAATATGACCAATAAATTATAAATGTTACATTCGAAAAAATCAACAGTTAAAAATTAATGTCAAACTTAAGTCAAAGGATTCTATCCTTATATATATATATATATCCAAAATTTAGGGAGGGGTGGTGGCCAATCCTAGTCCCTCCCTAAGTCCACTTATGCGCACGCATACACGCACACACGCGCACGCACACACACATGTGCGCTTACATACAAAATAATAATTTAAAAATAAAATTTTCATAATATCAATATTTATTTAAATTTTTTATTATACTTAAATAATAAACTTTAGTTTCACTCTTACATTAAATATATATTATACAATTTATATTGATATTTAAAAGTCAATTTTATATTTAAGTGTGTTTATGAAATTATTTGAATTCTCATTTATTACATTTTATTGAAGGTTTGATAGGTCAGCCCAAGTTTAAATTTTTAAAAAATAAGTTAAATCAAGTTTATAATTTGATTTATATTAAACTAACAAGTCTAAGTTAAATTTGAAAAATTTATATAAACATAACTCATTCAGGCTAAAATCTGTCTTGACTTGGCAACATTTGCAAACACACAATCGATTGGATGCAAGATTTGCTATATTGGCATAATTAAACTATACACATTTCTAGAAGAAAGAAATATTTAGAGGAATCATTTATCCCTGTAAACAGATGTCTAGGAAAAAATATTAAATAAACAAATTTAATTAGGTATACCAAAAGGTAGAAATGATATCGAGAATCTGATTTTATTTTAATCGATCCAGATAAGTTTTTTATAAATTCAAATTTTCATTTTATTTTTACATTTTTTTCTATATACCTGATGATAGTGATAGGTAGGCAAAGGCGGATCCAAGTGTAGGAGAAGGGGGGCAAGTGCCCACCCTTAAAATATGATACAAAAATATAAAAATATTTTTCTTTTAAAATTCAAATTTTTCCAATTTAATTTTGGGTAGGATATTATAACAATCAACTAGGATTATTATCAATATTACTACCAATCAATTTCACTGTTAGATCGATTATGTTGATCCAACGGTTATATTTATTTCCATCTTTGTATGGTTATGATTCCCCATATTTAATACTTTATATTTATTTTCACCTTGATATGGTTATGATTAGAGGTGTTAATGGGTCGGGCCGAGCCGAGCCGAGCTTTGGTCTTAAAATGTTAAGCCTGTGTTTAAATGTGTCAGCCTGACCAATCCTGTTACCTGTTATAAATATAACTATCGGCCTGTGGCCTGACTTATTTACAAAAAATAAAAGCCTTGTTTAGCCTCTTAGCCTATTTAAAAAAATAAAATAACAAAAGTTTATCCAAACAAAATATACAATCAACAACATTAGTAATTCCATAGATATTCATAAATTCAATTTATATGCAACTAACATAATATAGAACAAAATCATTCAAAAAATTTGTTTAACCAATAAAATGGGGTGAAATAGATTGAGAAGAAAGATGGCTATAAAAAATATAAAATATAAATAAAAAAGAATATACTAGGCCAGCTTGAGAGGCTTTAAGGCCAAACTTTTGAATTGAAGCCTGAGGCTTTTCTATTAAACGAGCTTTTATACAAGTCCAAACCTGGTGCCAATAACCAATTTTAGACATATAAGCTCAAGCTTTCACGAGCCGAGCCAAAGGCCCCTGGTTTGTTTAGCACCCCTAGTTATGATTTTCTATATTTAATGTTTTTACATTAAATTGGGGATCATAACCATATAAGATGAAAATAAATATAATCATTGGATCAACATAATCGATCTAACGGTGAAATTGATTGGTAGTAGCATTGGTAGTAACCCTAGTTGATTGTTATGATATCCATCCCTTTAATTTTCCTCTTTCTATTTTATTTTCTTGTAAGTTTTTTTTTTCTCTTCCACCTTCATTATCCAAACGTAACAGCGAAGAGCTCTATTCTAGACCTATCGTTTGTATCTACATATTGATTTATCTCCTCTCAAACCTCAATCTCCGTTATTAGAAATTGAAACATTTGCTTCCTCCTCCATCGTCGGTCCAGTTGAGTCACAATCTGTCCAGATCTAGATCTGAATCAGACCCAGCCAACCGGCACCTGCTCGCAAGTCGCTTTCCAAACCAGACCCAAATCTATATGTACTTGAACTTATTGAGTGCCCACCTTCATTAATTTTCTGGATCCGCTACTGTAAGTAAGCATGGATTGTACTTAAGAAGACAACTGAATATAGGCATGTGTACGTGGAGGTCTTTTAAATGGGTAATTGAAAACATGCACGTGGAGGTACTTTAAATTGGTAATTGAATAAATTATGAAGGCAAATTAAACGGAGAATAACAAAAGAATAAATTTGGTTCATGTAAATTTTATTTTATTTTTAGCAAAGGAAAAAGAGATAGAGAATCAAATTAAAGCCACCCATATCGATATTCTCACAAGTTTTTACAAAAAATATTATATTCCTTTATCAGAGTGGAAAAGATTTAAAAAAAAATATCAAAGGAAAGAAAGAAAGAAAAATCCTATATAAAGAGCATGCTATCAGAGTCCAACTAGGCTTCAAATTAAAGTACAACCATTTCTTACAAATGAAATCCTATATCTCTCTCACAAGAAAATTTTAACATGGTCTAAGCATTCAGCAATGAATTTTGAAGAATATACAAACTGATACAAAAGGGTGTTAGAAGCTTGAGAAATGGCTGAGAATGAATGGCTAAATGGTTATTTGGAGGCTATATTGGACGTGGGAAGCAGCATAAGGAAGAAAAATGATAGCAAGCTCAGAATCACGAAGTTTGAAGAAGATAAACATCAGAGGGAAGAAAAGTTGTTTAATCCCACAATCAAGTACTTTGTTGAGGAAGTTGTCAATAACTTTGATGAATATGAACTTTACAGGACATGGGTTAAGGTTTGTATAATTTGTCCCTCTCTCTCTCTCTCATTGTATCCTTGCTTTTCTGAATGAAAAGTAATGCCCCCTTATTTTAACAATCTTAGTCACTGAAATTTTGATTAATGGTAGAGAATTAAAGTTTTCATCTTTCCTTTCATTAACTGAGTTTACTTTATTTTTTACTCTATATATGCTAATATTTAGAGGGAATTAAATATTATATATTTTGGATCATCTTGTTTGATTTTTGAGTTACTGGGTAATGCAGCAACATGTTAACTTTTTTTTCTGAATAAATTATATAAAAAAGGAGGAAGATTGATGAAAAATTTATATCCGAATTTCGTGTGGCATGAATTTTGGATGTTTATTTATATTTAAGTAGTCTCTGCAAAAAAAAAAAATTTGTTTGCGTTTTTTTTTTTTTGGTAAACAATTTGTTTGCGTTTTATATTGGGACCACTTCTGCATAAAAGGGGGAAAATTGTAGCTTTTGAATATTTTTGGTGCGAGAGAGTAACTTAATGCTCACTAGCAAAATTTTCTACACAAACTACCAAAAAAAAAAAAAAAATCAACACAAAACTATTTTCAAATTGTATTATACGTAATCTTACCTTTATATTTTCTGAAAGAGATTATTTTCTAAACTCGAATCCGACATTTCAATCACAAAGAGTTACCTTACCATTACTTCAAGTCTCACCCTCAACGCAAACTTATATATAAGAATAAAATAGGTTTTGTTTTTCCACATGCTAACATGGTGTCTTATCAGGGGAAAAAAAAAAAACGAATGGAAGGAAAAAATAATTGTAGACTTAAGTTTCATTTTCAGAAATCTTGCATGATTTCATATGTAAATTCAACCGCGTGCATGGGTAAAAAAGAAGTAAATAACATTTTTGATAAATGCAAAGGTATGAAATATCATTATCAAAATTAAATGTATAACATGGTTTACTAGTGAGCCAAATTTTTTTGGCATCGATTGTATATAGCTATCACTATCAGGCTAGAAGATGCAGCAAAGAACATAGTTAGAGAATAAAGCTTTACATTGTCTTAACTTTATCTTCTTCTTCTTTTTTTATTCTTTGCTTAAATTTTTCTCCAACAAGATCTTCTAAAAAAGATTCATCAACCCTATTATCGGATTTTGTAAGTACCACTATCAATTGAGTGGTAGCATTTATAATTAGAACGGGAATATGCTTGGATAGAAAAGAAAAGGAACAAGATGCTTGTAACTCTAAATGGATGCATGAATGGGCAGGTAATAGCTAGAAGGAATACACGTGAACGTAGTAACAGACTGGAGAATATGTGCTGGCGCATTTGGCATCTGGCTCGCAAAAAGAAACAGGTCAGTGTCCCTCTAACACTACCCCGAATAAGTTCTAATGCTAGGGCTTGCTACCACCATTCTATTGTTCTTGCCTTTATTTAAGTTGTGGCATATATGTCAACTAATCCTTCATAGATTCCCAACTTCGAACATATTTTTGGTACTACAGGAGTAACTTTCATGGATTTGGATTCCCTCATGTGAAAAAATAGTCATGTAATAATGTTATTTGATCGCAATCACTCATTGATGATGAGATAAGAGAGATCAGAAAAATATGATTTTTAAATAAGTGGTTGTGATCAAATAACATGATCACTTTTCCACATGAGAGGATCCAAATCCAAAATCAATTGTATTACTTTTTCCAATTTTAGTAAAGGATGTATTGAATCATTTTCGTTAGCATGAACTTGATTTAGTTTTTTTATTTATTTACTTGTTATTATTATTAATAATTTTTTGAATATATATTTTGGCTTTGTTCAAATTTAGGGGGGGGGGGGGGGGGGGGGGCAAAACAAATGTGTATCTTTAAAAGTGACTTTCCAATGTTATAGTTGGGAATGATATTCCATAGAGTAGATTTGAGTGATAATTAATTGAGTTCCATTAATAGTTTGGAATAATTAAATGAAAAGACCCTGTATAAACACAATCTTTAAAGTTTTGGGTTAAGAAGTGATGTAGTTCATTTATTGTGATTTGAATTTTTTACTTAGTCCACATGATGGTAGCTTCTTCCCTCTTTGGGCTTCCTTCTGTGTCATTGCAAGCGGTGTCTAAACCAATGGCGGAATATTTGGAGATGGTAATACATTTTGGAGGTTATGGATTTTAGAAAGAAGAATTTAGAGTTACTTGAAATATTACACCAAAAAGTATCAAGTTTTGCAATACTCAATAGTGTTGCATCTACCTTAGAAAAAATCTTATATGCAAGTTCTTGGGCTCCGTACCATATGCACCACTACTTAGGCTTGAGATTTAAATGTAACTTAGAGCTCACTACTTCCTTGTTTGGACTAACATGGGGAACTTAATTAGTAGAGCTAACAAAACAAAGTACTTTGCTTTTGAAAAGCAATCACAAGAAATAACTTTCCTTCATTTTTTTTAATAAACAAGTATGGATATAACTAGTGTTTGATAAACATGCATGCATTAATGAAAGTATATTATTGCATATAGATAATTCACTAAAGAAGTAACACCAACCTTACACTATGCAATTATATTATTTGAGGTGTTTGCTTGGACAAATAGTAAAAATGGAAGGGAAATAAAAAAATTGTTGTAGATTGCATTGGATGATGCTCAAAAGCTTGCAAGAAGGCGCATTGATCGTGAACAAGGTCGTAATGATGCTGAGAATGACCTTTCTGAGCTCTCGGAAGGTGAAAAAGAAAAAGGAGATGCCAATTCTTCAGAAACTGTCAAAGATAATATTTCGAGATCTGAAATGCTACTTTGGTCTGAGGAAAATAAATCTAGGCACCTTTACATTGTCCTAATCAGGTATTGTGTTTACTCTCTCACCAAAGCATAACTAGTTTGGTCAAGTGACTCTGTTCACCTTGACATTTTAAATGTACTTTTTAAAAGATAAAAATAAAATAAAAATTGATGCTTTATTTTTTCAGAAATTTTTTCAACTTATTTTGTATTTGGGTGATATCTAAAAAATACTGTTCAGTAAAAAGTAATATTTTGTCTTTTTAGAAGTTCAGAAGATTTGATAAAAGAAAATAGTATTTTGGCATTTTTTTTAAATATTCATATTCAAATATATGTTAAACTGAGAAAAGCCTAACCAAAAATAAAAAAATATCATCCAAATAGTCCTAAATCTATTTGGTACAGTTTTACTGGTGCACCTCACTACAATTTGATGCATTTAGAAAAATTAATTTTTATGCGTGATAACCAAAGGCCGGATTAAACTTGAAAAGTAAAGATAGATAGGAAGAACAATTTCTTAACCATTAAGTCAAATCAAAGATAAATCTAGTGAACGGAAATATTTAATATGATATCGGTCCATCACCTGATTCAATGGTCTGGATCAATTAAAACGAAGTATTTTCTGATATATGGGTTCAAAGGAGAAAAAATAAATTGTTTTATCCAAGTCTCTCACTCCTAATGAAAGGAGCACTTGTTGCTCCTGGTACACAAAAGATAATCTCCTAGTCGAGAATTTGGGGGTATCGGCCTCCTAAATGATCACCAAAATTTAATTACTAATGTATAAAATTTTTGTTTTACTCAATTTATTAATTTTTATTTTGACCTTTATTTATTTATTTTTACAATAAAAAAAATCAGGTTAATAGCTTTTTGGTATGTAAAAGAAGGATTTTATATTTATCATGTTATAGGAGATAAAAATTACCTCTTACATATACAAAAAAATATGTGAAACTCATATTTTTTTCTCTCTTCTTCTCCTCGCATCATCTCTCATGGGCCTAATATATTTTTATATGTATGTGTAGAATGAGAAAGATTAAAACCATAAAATAAAATTGTATGAAGTCATTGAATTGTAGGTAAAAGTCTATATGAAACAGCAGTAATATGATTCTATGTAACTTTAGCTCTAATCCTTCATTTTTTTTTTGGAAAAAATTCACCAATACTCCTGTGGTTTGCTTCAGAATCATCTAAGCCCGCCCCTGTGATTTTTTTTTCTATCATGTATGTCCCTGTGATTTGCAAAAGGGTATGTTTTTTTATCACATATGCCTCTGTGGTTTTTTATTTTTTACAAAGCACAGGAGCATATGTGATCAAAAAAAAATCCACAGAGAAGTAAACCACGGGAACATTGGTGAACTTTTCTCTTCTTTTTTTTGTATAATCCTTCATTTTTTTAATTGTAATTTAATACAACTAAAATTACTGATTATGTCGTATTTGAGAAATGCCATTATTTTCAATTTAAAATATTTAAAAAAAATTATAGTTTAAGAAGTACAAAAAAAATCTTGACCCAACTAAGTTATATAAATCTAATAGAATTTTATGTATATTTAATATAGAGGTATGTTATTATTATAATTTGTTTTTTAATAACTATTTTGTTATTATTGGATTAAAATGAGATCAACAGCTCTATTTGATATCATTTTATAAAGGGGATTGTTTTTCTCATTTAACATGAGAGAAAGACAATCTCCTACATACACATATGGAAGAGAGAGGAGGGAGAAAAAATTTAAAGTGAGTCTCACATCTAATTTGTATCTAATGCATGAGATAATTATCTCATATAAAATGAGATAATTATTTTCCTTTTATAAATGTTAATTAATTTTGATTCAACGATAATAAAAATGTTTACAAGAAAAAAAAATTATAAATATAACATTTTATATTATCATTCATTGATGTAACGTCATATAGTTTAATGAGTGTGACGATCTCTAAGTCATCAAACAATGTGATAATATAACTTTTTTTTATTTTTTTATATTAATAGTACATCGAAATTAAATTTATATAAGATATGCAACACTAACTTTAATATAAAATGTACAATATCTATAAAAGGAACATTTATTTTCTACAATTTTTCAACCTTTTTCTTAGCTTGCTTTAATGTAGTGTAAATTATCGCGCAAAAATATCATACATATTTTTTAAATTAATTTTTTAAGTATGTGACAAAATGAATAAGATAATTAATTTAATGACAAATAAAAAAATAAGCTAATTAAGATATTATTAGAATTATATTAAATTATTATTTATTTAATGTTAATTTTCGCCCATTCTTGGGTGAATTCCTTAACTTGTGGGTTGTGATTCTAACCACTCATCACAAATATAATAGGTGTAAGAAATTAAATTTGACATTTCTTTAACTATTAGTCTCATTGTTTTAATGTTATCATTGTAGTATTCATGGTTTGGTACGAGGAGAAAATATGGAACTTGGGAGAGATTCAGATACTGGTGGTCAGGTACTTGTTTAATCTAACATCTATTTTTCTATGTCATGGCCAATTTTCAATTTGGATACAATATCTTGCCACGGGGTGGTAGAAAATTTTGTGAAGTGGGGGGAAAATTACAAGTATGATATTCCTTGTAAGTTATTATTATTTATATGACCAAAAGAACAAAGATAAAGCTCACTGTTAGACTTTTATGAAATTTAAGGGGGCGATCATCATCCAACTTAATTAGTAGTTTCGAGTTTCAGTTTTTTATGAACAAAGTTGTGTTAAATTTAATAAGGAGAGATTTGTTGTCTATATGATCCTACCCAACTTGAATCCAAAAAAACATAACTAATAGCTCACAACTAAATCAATATAACAATTCAAAGGGACAACTGCCCTCCCTAGCCTATCTCTCACTAGCTCCACAACTAATAACTTGATTTCACATATTGTCCAATAATTTTAATTGTTTTTGTCATATATTGTGTTGTATCGGGGAAAATATTTAATATGATTCAGGCCCATCTATGATTCAGTGGTCCAAGCCAATAAAGATTGAGTGTTTTCTGACTTGCTTGTTTGGAAGAGAGAGAAATTTTGTTTTTTTCTCCAAATGACAACTCATTGATGGAAGGAGTAGTTGTGTCAGGACTAGTACAAACGGCTCTCGTACTTGGGAGTCTCGAGAGTGGTTAAGCTGCTCCTATGTGATTGAAAGATCATGGTTTGAATTCTAGAAACAACTTTTTTTATGTTGCATTGTCCTTTATTTTGTTTTACTTCAATTTCAGGTCAAATATGTAGTAGAACTTGCTCGTGCTCTAGCCAACACAAATGGAATTTACCGAGTTGATCTATTGACTAGACAAATTGCTTCACCAGAAGTAGATTCCAGCTATGGAGAGCCTATAGAGATGTTGTCATGCCCCTCTGATGGCAGTGATTGTGGTGGAGCATATATTATTCGTCTTCCATGTGGACCTCGTGATAAGTAACTACAACACTTGACTTTCCATTTGGGGTAAGGTTATATATGGGGATGAAACTTGATTAGTAGAATCCATTGATTGTGTTGCAGGTACATACCAAAAGAATCACTTTGGCCTCACATACCTGAATTTGTGGATTGTGCTCTAAACCACATTGTTAACATGGCAAGAGCTTTAGGTGAGCAAGTGAATAATGGGAAGCCAACATGGCCTTATGTTATTCATGGCCACTATGCTGATGCTGCTGAAGTAGCAGCTGACTTATCAGGTGCATTGAATGTGCCAATGGTGCTAACAGGGCACTCATTAGGAAGGAACAAGTTTGAACAGTTGTTGAAGCAAGGGAGGCTCTCTAGGGAGGCCATAAATGAAACCTACAAGATTATGAGGAGGATTGAGGCTGAGGAGTTTGGCCTTGATGCTGCTGAAATGGTTGTTACTAGCACAAAGCAAGAGATTGAAGAGCAATGGGGATTGTATGATGGCTTTGATCTCAAGTTGGAGAGGAAGCTTAGGGTTAGGAGAAGACGTGGAGTGAGTTGCCGTGGAAGACACATGCCAAGGATGGTGGTATGCACAATGTGATCACTATTTGTTGTGTGTTTACTTTACTTGTTGAACAATGTTCATAGATACTGAAATGTGTGTCCTGCTGAATCTTAAAATCAGGTCATTCCACCTGGCATGGACTTCAGCTATGTTACAATACAACAGTCAATGGAAGGTGAGGGAGACCTCAAGTCACTGATTGGATCGGATAGAGCTCATAGCAAAAGGAACTTACCTCCAATTTGGTCTGAGGTATTAAAATCTTCCCTACCATCTTTAAACCAATGCTTTTGTGAATAATAAGCATATGTTAGATACAATATAAATATGTTAATATATCAAAACCATTCACATGCCTAACAGCTTAAACTTTTAGCATAATTGATTCAAGACATGGTATCAGGTTCTCTATGACCAAGTGGTCTAGAACTCAATCTTTATCGCCCTCATTCTTCTAAGAAAGTTGAATTTTAGCACAAGTTAGATGGGTTTGTGAATTGTCCATATGTGAGGGAGTAAAGGATTAATTTTTTAATGAATGAAGAATTATTACTTTTTCTCCTTAAATATTGCTACTTAACAGTGTCTAAAGATGAGTTATGCCATGCAGATAATGCGATTTTTCAGAAATCCTCACAAACCAACAATACTAGCATTGTCACGCCCTGACCCTAAGAAAAATGTCATGACTTTGCTAAAGGCTTTTGGGGAATGCCAGGCCCTAAGGGAACTGGCTAACTTGGTGAGTTTTTCCATTTCTATTTGAAAACATCTAGATTTGTCACATGGTTGTTAGCATTTGATCAAGCAATAACTTTCTGCTTTCCACAAATTATGGCAGACCCTCATACTTGGAAATAGAGATGACATTGAAGAAATGCATGACAGTAGCTCTGCTGTTCTTACCATGGTGCTCAAGCTCATTGACAAGTATGATTTGTACGGTCAAGTGGCCTTTCCTAAGCATCATAAGCAATCTGATGTTCCAGAGATATATCGTCTGGCTGCAAAAACTAAGGTGCATTCTTTGAAGAAAATTTGCCAACTCCTGATTTTACTATTGACTTTGATGTGATCTGTTATCTAATCTTTCTTTGTACAATGTAATTAGATGTAAAAGCACATACAAAACTACATTTATCATGCTAAAAGTTCAACTTGATAAACAAAAGCAAGATAGTAGGTTACATTGATGGAAGTACAAAAAGTTCTCTACACTATTAAAGTCAATTTCTTAAATAATCAAATCTATATAAGTAATAATTATTGTCTTTAACAGTTTATCTGACTGAAAATTTAATTTCCTTGTCTTCTTCCTACACTGTATTTGCTAACAACAATACATGGGGGGGTTTTGTCTCTTGAAGGGAGTTTTCATCAACCCAGCCCTGGTGGAACCATTTGGTCTCACACTCATTGAGGTAAACCTCAAGCTGTTACTTCAGATTGTTAATAGGTTCAGTGACACTCAGCCTCTGAAATATGATTTACATAACTAAGTTTATGGAAAATATGAAAATGACTAGACTTCCTTGTTCTTCCCATACTACAGGCAGCAGCTTATGGTTTACCTGTTGTAGCAACAAAAAATGGAGGGCCAGTGGATATTCTGAAGGTATACTATAAATCCTTTTTGTCCTAATTTTACATGTAACTTACTACATCACTCATATTTTCAAACAAGTAGTCACTTTACAATCAGGGCTATCAACACTTTTTACCTCCTAATTAATCAAACTGCTTTATTTTTTGGTAACTGTTAGAATATTAGATATGATATGATTAGATTTGATTAGATATGATTGGATTCTGTCTTATCCGTAAATAGTCTGACTGTATTATGACTGTATTAGGATTAGGTTTGGATTAGGTTTGGGCCTTACACTTAAGCCCATTAAGGTCTCTATATATTGTAACTCCCTGACACAGATCAATACACAACGTATTCTTTTACATTTAACTTGGTATCAGAGCTATTTCGTTCTGGGAACCCTCGCTTCCGCTTAGAAATCTTGTTCTTCGCTTTAAAACCTAAGCCCACTGCTTAGGAGTCATCTTTTCTTTGCCGTGCGTCCTTCCGGTAAGACATCAAGGGCTGTAAGTCCTCTCCAGGCATCTTCTGCACGTGTCCACATCCCCAAACAGTCACCGGAGCACCATCAGCCACTGTTCAGGCTGCCGGAGTACTTTTCCGGCGAGTTTTCAGTCTGGAACGAACGCGAACAGAACCCTCTCCTCCCGGCGACCTGCTCTGTGGAAGTCCGGCCACCATCGGAGTTGTCACGCGCTCTCACGCGCCTCCAGTCTTCTCTGCGCGTGGGCTTCACGCGCCACCTTCTGCCGGCGCGTGAGCACTATTCCGGCGGCTTTTTCCGGCCGGTCTTGGACAGAGAAGCTCGTCTTCTCCTCCTCTTTCTGGATCTGTGGTTGGTTCTTTGTGGGTCTGACTTTTTGTGCGCACCTCTTCTTGATTGGTGATCAGGTTCGTTTCTCTTTATTCGGTTTGTATCTTTGTGATTTGATACTATGGCAGCAAACCCTCCAATTCATTCGGAGGTCAAGTCTCCATCTCCTCCTTTGAGAAATTCTCCCAATATCATCTCTAACAATATTGGGTCCATTACCTCTTCAAAATTGAAGGGATCTGTTAATTACAAGAACTGGGCCACCTCTGTTCGAGTTTGGTTCTTTGGACAAGGATATGGGAACCATCTCACAACTAAGTCTACTGATGTCCCTAAGGAGGACAAGTCTGATTGGGAAAAGATTGACAACCAGCTTCTGAGTATCCTCTGGCAATCCATTGATCCGATTGTCTTGGATATCTTTTATTCATTTCAAACTTGCATTGAAGTGTGGGAGGAAGCAAAAAACCTCTACACTAATGATGTTCAGCAGCTCTATTTCATTATCTCTCAGTTTATGGAATTGAGCAAATCATCCGACATTCAGATGGAGACATATATTGGCAAGAGTCGCTCTTTGATGCAGGCATATTTGGATATGCTGCCTTACCCTACTGATGCTACTGCATATCGGAAACAGGTGGAACGTCTCTTTATGGTTGCCACACTTTCTGGCCTTCCCGAAGAATATGATAATGTTCGTGATACTATCTTGACTAGTGGGGAGCCTGATCTATCCATGACGTATCAACGTCTTCTGAATTTGAATAAGAAATCTGCTCCTGCATCGTCTTCTGCTGTTGATTCTACTGCTCTAGTTTCCCGTACTGATTTTCGCAGGCATATTGGAGGTGGACGTGGTCGTGGTAGAGGCCCAGGAGGACGTAGCCCAGGAGGTCGTGGCCCAGGAGGCCCAGGAGGTCCAGTCGGACGTGGTCAGCGACCTCGTTGTCATTACTGTCAGCAACTTGGTCATTATGAGGAACGCTGCTACACCAAGTATCCTCACATGCGACCTTCTTTTGCTGCTAATGTAGCTCAATCGGATACTGCTTCAAATGGTTCAGTCTCTCTCTCCTCTGAAGAATATGCAGCATTCCAGGCCCTTCTCAGGAAGTCCTCTCCTCAATCTCAGGCCTCTGCTTCAGAAACTGGTAATCCTGTTGCTTGTGTTTCTCATTCTGCATCACTTGGTCCTTGGATTTTGACTCAGGTGCTACTGATCACCTCTGTGGTAATAAGGAACTCTTTTCTTCCCTTACATATTCTAATAATTTACCCTCTTTTACTCTTGCTGATGGAACTAAGGCCCCCGTTCATGGGATTGGACAAATTTGTCCAACCTCCTCATTGACCTTGACATCTGTCTATTACATTCCTCACATTCCTTATAATTTAATATCGGTTAGTAAATTGATCAATTCTCTTAATTGTATTGTCACATTCTCAAACCATTCTGTTTCTGTGCAGGACCCGGGTACGGGGAAGATGATTGGAGTGGGCCGTGAGTCACGGGGTCTGTTCTACCTTGATGTGCCGAGTCCTTCAGTTGCTTGTTCTCTCACAGAATCTCCACAGCTCATCCACAGTCGTCTCGGGCATCCTAGTCTTGCGAAATTGCAGAAGATGGTTCCTCTTTTATCCGGTCTTCAAACTTTAGATTGTCAGTCATGTCAGCAAGGAAAGCACATACGCTCCTCCTTTGCTAATCGAGTCAATAAACGAGCTGATGCTCCTTTCAATTATTCATTCAGATGTTTGGGGTCCTAGTCGTAGTGTGTCTATTTTAGGTTTTCGGTATTTTGTCACCTTTATTGATGATTTCTCCCGTTGTACTTGGATTTATTTAATGAAAAACCGTTCTGAGTTGTTTTCTATTTATCAAAAGTTTTCTGCTGAAATTCATACTCAATTTGGTGCTTCTATTCGTATTTTACGTAGTGATAATGCTAAGGAGTATGTTTCTGTTGACTTTCCTCACTTCTTAGCCACACAGGGTACTTTACACCAAACCACTTGTCCTCACACTCCACAACAAAATGGAGTAGCTGAACGTAAGAATAGACATCTCATTGAGATTGCCAGGACTCTTCTTATTCACATGCATGTTCCTCTTCACTTCTGGGCTGATGCAGTCCTTGCTTCTTGCTTTCTCATCAACCGCATGCCTTCATCTGTGCTTAATAATGATATTCCTCATAACTTATTATTTCCAGATGTTCCTCTCTTTCCTCTATCCCCACATGTTTTTGGTTGTACCTGTTTTGTTCATGATCTCACTCCTGGTAAGGATAAGTTAACATCCAAAGCCTTTAAATGCATTTTTCTTGGTTATTCTCGTCTTCAAAAGGGTTATCGTTGTTACTCTCCTGACCTCAAGCGTTACTTAGTTTCCGCGGATGTCACCTTTTTTGATCAACAACCCTTTAATTCTATCCCATCTCCATTGTCACAGGTTGATCATGTTCTTCCTGTTCCTTTTCTTGACTTGTCTTTGCCAGATGCAGGTGCTTCTACTCCAGATAAGCAATCACCTATTGCTCCAGTACCTAAGGACCGTCCACTTCTCACTTATCAGCGTCGTAAGACAGTACCTCCAGTCGACTCGACCCCTGCTGACTCATTGCCCTCTGCAGTTGATTCTTCCCCTCCGGATCCTTCACCAGAGGCTCTTCCCATTGCTCAAAGAAAAGGTACACGTACTACTCGTAACCCTTATCCTCTTTATACCTTCTTGAGCTATGATCGCCTTTCTCCTCCTCATTTCACCTTTGTTTCTAGTCTTTCTTCTGTTCCTATTCCTAAGACCACAGGTGAAGCACTTTCCCATCCAGGATGGCGCCAAGCGATGCTTGATGAGATGACCGCACTTCATACCAATGGCACTTGGGACCTTGTTTCTGCTCCTCCAGAGAAGTCTATAGTTGGTTGTCGCTGGGTGTTTACTGTGAAAGTTGGACCTGATGGCCATGTTGATCGTCTCAAGGCACGCCTAGTTGCCAAGGGTTTTACTCAAATCTTTGGCCTTGATTATAGCGATACATTCTCTCCAGTCGCTAAGATGGCTTCGGTCCGCCTATTTCTTGCCCTTGCTGCTGTTCGTCACTGGCCACTCCTTCAACTTGACATCAAAAATGCCTTTCTTCATGGTGATTTACAAGAAGAAGTTTACATGGAGCAACCACCTGGTTTTGTTGCTCAGGGGGAGTCTGGGAAGGTATGTCGTCTTCGAAAATCCTTATATGGTCTCAAGCAGTCTCCTCGAGCATGGTTCAGTCGCTTCAGTTCTGCTGTACAGGCGTTTGGCCTAATTCGCAGTAAAGTTGACCATTCTGTATTCTATAGGATTACATCTCCTAACAAGTGCATCTATTTGTTAGTCTATGTTGATGACATCATCCTCACCGGAAGTGATCAAGACGGAATCCATCAGTTAAAACAACATTTATTCAGTGCATTTCAAACAAAGGACCTTGGGAAGCTGCGTTACTTCTTGGGAATTGAGGTGGCGCAATCTAGACAGGGCATTTCTATCTGTCAAAGGAAGTATGCCTTGGATATCCTAGAGGAGACTGGTATGTTGGGGTGTAAACCAGTTGATACACCCATGGATCCTAATGTTAAGTTATTGCCCAGACAGGGGGAGCCATTATCTGATCCTGGACGTTATCGAAGGCTGATTGGGAAGCTCAATTATCTTACTGTGACTAGGCCAGATATTTCTTTCGCTGTCAGTACGGCCAGTCAGTTCCTTGATTCCCCTTGTGATTCACATTGGGATGCTGCTGTGAGGATCCTCCGATACATCAAAGGAGCACCAGGAAAAGGTTTGTTGTATTCGGATCAGGGAAATACAGAAATTTGTGGTTACTCAGATGCCGATTGGGCAGGATCACCCTCGGACAGAAGCTCTACTTCTGGTTATTGTGTCTTCTTCGGAGGAAACTTAATCTCATGGAAAAGCAAGAAACAACCTGTTGTTTCCCGATCTAGTGCAGAAGCTGAGTATCGTGCAATGGCAAATACTACCTGTGAGTTGATCTGGTTAAAGCAGTTGATTCAGGAGCTTCATCTTTGTGAACAGAAACAACCCATGACACTCATCTGTGATAATCAAGCTGCGCTACATATTTCCTCTAATCCTGTTTTTCATGAGAGGACCAAACATATAGAGATTGATTGTCACTTCATTCGGGAAAAGATTCAGTCAGGAGAAATCAAGACAGCTTTTGTCAACTCGTCTAATCAACTAGCAGATGTTTTCACTAAAGCTCTTAGGTCCTCGGGTTGAATGCATTTGTAACAAGCTTGGTGCTCATAATATATACGCACCAGCTTGAGGGGGAGTGTTAGAATATTAGATATGATATGATTTGATTTGATTAGATATGATTGGATTCTGTCTTATCCGTAAATAGTCTGACTGTATTCTGACTGTATTAGGATTAGGTTTGGATTAGGTTTGGGCCTTACACTTAAGCCCATTAGGGTCTCTATATATTGTAACTCCCTGACACAGATCAATACACAACGTATTCTTTTACATTTAACTGTAACTACTAGCTAAGAAAGGGAGCTACATTTTCTTTTTATGTTTTATTTGTGTGTTGAGTTATTTCTTTATGGTTTGTTTACATCTCATCATTCCAGGCACTCAACAATGGACTCTTGATTGATCCACATGACCAGAAAGCCATAGCAGATGCACTACTAAAGCTTGTTGCAGACAAGACTCTCTGGCTAGAATGCCGCAAAAATGGCTTAAAAAACATCCATCGTTTTTCATGGCCTGAACACTGCCGCAACTACCTCTCCCATATTGAACATTGCAAGAACCGCCACGCCACCTCCCGCTTGGAAATTGCACCAATTGCTGATGAACCAATAAGTGACTCATTAAGAGATGTAGAAGACCTTTCTTTCAGATTCTCCACAGAAGGAGACTCCAAGTTGAATGGAGAGATGGACCCTGCAGCAAGACAGAAGGAAATTATTGAAGCAATTACGCGCAGGGTCTCCTCTACTCGCAATTCTAATGCCAGTTACTTTCCTGGTAGAAGGCAAAGGCTTGTTGTAATAGCTGCAGATTGTTATGATAGTGATGGAAATATAGCAAAGGCCTTTCAGGCAATTATCCAGAATGTGATGAAAGCTGCAAGACCAGGCATCAGCACAGGAAGGGTTGGTGTTGTATTGCTAACTGGTTTGAGTTTACAAGAGACTATTGAAGCATTGAGCAGCTTCCAAGCAAACATAGAAGAATTTGATGCTCTTGTTTGTAACAGTGGAAGTGAAATGTACTATCCATGGAAAGACTTAATGGCTGATGTTGATTATGAAGCCCATGTCCAATATGCATGGCCTGGTGAGAACATTAGATCAATGGTAACTAGGCTTGCTATAATTGAAGGTGGAGAGGAGAATGACATTGTAGAATATGTCACTGCTTGCAGTTCAAGGTGCTACTCCTATAGTGTGAAACCAGAAGCCATGGTAAGATAACTTGGTGTATAAGAAAACTGTCTTGTTAGTTGAAAATGGTACTTCTTTGATAAACATTTTTTAACCATTGTAGTTTATGATTTATGATGACAAATTACAGATTAGGAAGATTAATGATCTTCGCCAAAGGCTACGAATGAGAGGCTTTCGCTGTAACCTTGTCTATACACATGCAGGATTGAGATTAAATGTGATACCATTATTTGCTTCAAGAAAACAAGCACTGAGGTCAGTAACATCATTGACTGCATCTCCCCAAAACATATTTTATGCATAAACTAGATGTGAAATAAAAAGGCCATATATATGACATTATTCTTGTTTGTTGTAAACTTTAGGTATCTTTCAGTTAAGTGGGGAATTGATCTCTCCAAAGTTGTTGTATTTGTGGGAGAAAAAGGCGATACAGATTATGAAGAACTCGTGGCTGGTATCCAGAAGACTCTTGTCTTAAAAGGAGCTGTTGAATATGGCAGTGAAAGGCTTCTCCGTAATGAAGACAGTTTCAAAAGAGAAGATGTGTTCTCCCAAGATAGCCCCAACATTATCTATGCAGAGAAGAGCTTTGAGGATTGTGACATATCTTCAATTCTGGAGCATCTCAAAGTATCATGATTTCTATTTTGCTCACTGTTTCTAATGTCATTATCCATGAACTTAGAAATAACTATAAGCCAATAGTAAATATACCACAAACTAGAATGTATACTCCCCAACTTTGATAATATATAACAAATACATCTCTAACATGATTTTTCACTCCAAGATTCTATAGAAACAGAAAGGTAGATGTATCTGCAATCTGCATTATACAAAATTTCATTAGCTCTATGTCAATAATAATCTCGTTACTGGCTAAAGAAATGAACTCATTCTTGCTAAGTTTTTTTTACTGATTGTTCGGAACGCTTGCAAGTAATAAAGTAGTGTGAAAGAATATCGTGAAATGATGATTAGTAAGCACTATTTTGGTACTTTCACTTTATTTGAATGGATGGTAACGTTGTGAATGGAGTATAAGGGGATTAAAAGGAATTTAAATGCGAAAACAGTACATAACCATGTGAAGACAAAATGTAAGAAAAACTAATTGAGGAAACAATGATTAGCACGATGAAAGATACAATGATAAAACTAAATAATGGTAGCTCAGTTGGCGTCACGGAACTAAGCTGGTGAGGGTAAAAGCATGTGTTCAATCCTCTTCAGTACTGATTTAAAGCTTTAATCCTGAACCTGACTCGAATCGGACTGGTGAGAGCATATGTTCAATCATCTTCAGTATCATTTTTGGGAGGAATTTAAAGCCTTAATCCCGAGACTTGACTCGATCCGGACTAGCCCCGAAAAAAACCGATTGAAATATCTCAAAAAAAAAAAAAAAATACAATGATAAAACGGTTAGGGTTTTGACTTCAATTGTCACTTGTGTAACCTAATTCAATTCTATCTCCAAGCAAAGAATTATCAAGATTCAAGAATACAAGTACTCATATGCTTAACCTTAGAACCATACAAAGAACATGATAAAATTACACATTCAGAGTTCTGTACCAATATTCCTATGGCTATACACAAATCCAAAATCAATTCATGAGGGGCCAAATCATAGAAAACATTAGGAATAGGATAATTCACTTAATATTGAAAATATGAATTGCATTACATCTAGGTAAAAATGAGTTTTCCATCTAACCTGAACACAAGAAAATTATTCCATGTGTCTTATAATGACCCTAAATGGTAAATCTTAATTAGAGATTTAATTTAAGGATTTAAATGCCATAATTAGATTCAGTGAGTGATTCCGAGTATTTTGACTGTAATCATGACTATGTTATGAACAGTGCGTTCTGTCGGAGAATTCGCAGTCTCGTGAATTAACCGGTAGAGCTTAAAGAAGCAAAATTATTTTAGAGACATAATTTGACAATTCTGACGACAAATATGAGTTCAGAATGAAAAATTGTATAGTCTGGCACTTTCCGTGAAAATCTCGTGAATAGTGTTTCTACCGGGTATTTTGTACTGCTATTTGAGCAACCGGTAGAGTCCAGAAATAAATAATTGATGAAATAAGAATAAGAAAGTCTAATATATGCCAAGCAAGTCAATATAGACCCAAGAAAATGATAAGTTTATAAGTTTCAAATTTTATAAATAAACAAAGTACAGTTAGTGGGTTTTTGTGCATTTCGTCAAAAACGGTGCAGAAACCACACTGCAAATTATGAATAGTGCTCCTTAGAAAATAAAAGTTAATGTAAATGACTTTAAAAAAATAAAAATATATTAGTATCTTTGAGTTAGATCCGGGTTAGTTTAAGTGAAATACGCGAGAGAAAAACATCCGATTAAAATAATGCCACATGGGCTTAAAAGAACCAAACCACTCATCTCTCATTACCCAAAAAGCATTTTCTCTCTCTTCTCACCCTCCCAAACCCGTGGCTGCTTGGAGATGGAGACCTAGGGTTTTCAAATTTTCTTTCCTTCCATTCTCACTCTTTTGGTCATCAAAAGGAATTATGCCTTACATGAAAGTTATGGGAAAAAGTCCAATGAAGCTATTCCAACCATCAATTTGAGTTTTTGTTGAGAGCTGGGTGAGTTTTCCCTCCTCCCAAATCTGAGTTACTATTCATCCCAAGAAAAAAAAAAAGTGGAGCTTCCATGGAGTTTTGCTTGAGAGAGGTCTCCTAGGCTTTGGGTAGTTGCTTTAAGGTAACAAAACTCTAACCCTATGACTTAGTCTTGTGATTTATGTTGTGAAAAATATTGTGAGCATATTTTGAGTGAGAAATAAAGTAGTTCACCACTTGGATTGATGATAGATTATGAAGGGGTGTTATATAGGAATGGAAGTAAGTATTTGTATATGTTTAAAATGGAAAAAAATCCACGGTGTGGGCTTCCTTTTAATTTCGGCCTTCATAAGATTATGAGGGAATGATGTATAAAATTTTAATCCATGTAGTTGGAAGGCTTCATGTGTTGAAATAAGTGGAAAATTGATGAATGAGTAAGAATACAAAAATAAGAAAAATATTAGGGTGTCATGCCTCTAGGCTAGGCCATAATGTGCCATTGAGGGGTCTATTGTTTAAAAAAAAAAATTAATTGGACATAATGTATAAATATGCATGTAGGTGCAAGTTGCAAAATTAAGGAAAAGAAATGGAATGAAAAGAAAGAGCACCATTGGCCTTTCCTTTAGGAATTCGGCCTTATAGGGTAAAAATAAGGAGAATTAGATTATGTCCTATTTTATTAAAGTGTTGAGTATCCAATGTATGAAATTAATAAGATTATATAGTGAAACGGTCTAGACTTGTGTATTGGCATAGGATTGGCAAAAATACAAAGAAATGAAAAGAGGCGGTAAAATGTATGCCTTATGTGAAAACTAGGCATGATGGCATTTTATTAATTGGTATTTGTGGATTCTTGCTCTAGGTGTACCTAGGGACTAAAAAGGAATCAGAATCTCTTGAAGATATATAAGTAACTTGAGCCACAAGTAAGCTGATTGTTAAAGCTTCAAGAGGTAAGCTCTATGTTTAAGGAGTCTTTTCCTGCTTGAGTGCTCCACCATGGTTAGTGAACTATGGTTGGACTGTATGACTGTTATTTAGATGCTTTGTATAGATGCATTCATATAGAGTTATTTGATAACATGATATGTCTTGCTCTGATATGACTTCTGTAATATGATTTCTGTAACAATCTCTGGCCATTGATTGTATAGTACCCGGACGTCCGCTTTGGGGTCCTCCCTCGGGACTGATGGTGTACGCCTCTGATATGTCTGGTTCCGCTTTGGGGTCCTCCCTCGGGAACACGTGCGTTGATTTCCGCTTGGGGTCCTCCCTTGGGAATGACGGCGCACATCTCTGATATGATATGGATATATGCTCTGTTCTGTTATGATATTTGTTATATGTTGTATTCGTATACTTTGTATCTGACTTTCATGCAGGAGTGAGCCAGGGGTATGGAGAATTCTCCATAAACCTGGAGCTTATTGAGATTTGTAATCTCCCCCCTCTTTGGGGACACATTTTCAGGTGCCCAGATTCCCGGTGAGTCCTCACTAGGCAGGGACACGACACGTGGCTGAGGCAGTTGACAGATCGGATTTTGAGTGGTTGTAGGCTACTACCTTTTTGGAGTGTTTGATGTATTTTAGTATTTTCGCATTTGATGGATCATGATATTGATCCTTTATTTTGTATATGGCCTGTATATGTTTTGTACACGTCTGTCGCTTTGATGCATGTACATTTGGGTATTCAGGCACGTTATGTGATGAGGTAGTATTCAGATATGTTTACCTGTTGGATTGCATGCTGTTAGATATAGTGGCACTGAGCCAAGTTATGCATGCGCCCATGGATGGGCATTTGAGTATATTTGTATAAACTGTTTATCAGGAAATGCTTCTGTGTGGGATTGGAAAATCCCCAGTTGTCCGATTTATAGAGGAAACTCTGCCCGATTTTCGTTTACGACGAATGAGAATTTAAAAATAAAAAGAAAAAAGTTAGCTCGTATTTTCAGAAGTTAAGTCTTCCGCTGTTTTCTGTTTTATCATATGTATGTTAATTGAACCGGCTCGAGACGGGGACGTTACATGTCTCCTTGATCCTTCTAATAGTGTAAAAAATCTCTATTTTATTAGGATTTGATCCGCTAATCTCATTAAATTTTGTAATCTTAGCAAATCAGGGAATCTTAGTTTCTCAGAACCTTCTCTTTAGAAGTCTATTCACAGCGGAAATGGATCCTCTCATGTGCCGAAAAAACATGATATGGTTATGTGGAAAGATCACACTCATACAAAGGTAAATCAACGGTTATGATTTCGTAACTACCTATTTTATCATTTTTTTCTCTCCTCCTTTTTTATCATTGATCCACCTTTGTATGGTTATGATTCCCCACATGACATTGTCATGTGAATTTTTACATGAGAGGATCCAAATCCATTTACAGCAAAACAAATTTAAACATCTAGTGTTCAACTGAAGTTGGCTATGTGTACAATTGTATAGAGAGACTAACATTCAATATAAATTTTCATAACAAATCTTCTTTTGTCCATGGCCATTCTGTAAAACAAGCACTCAGACTTCATACTAAGGTGTTTGGTAGAAGATTTATTTTAAGATTGATGGGAAAGTGTAAGAGGATAATGGAAAATACCACGTTTGGTTCAGGTTTTTGAAAAAATTACTAGACAAATAGGATAGATGGGGAAATGACTTTTGTATTGATTTTTGGATGAAATTCACTATTACAGAGTACCACTTGAGATGTGGTATTTTGAGATAACTGGAGAAAGTGAAAAAACAGGTGCGAAGTTTCTCCCGAACATAGATTTTGCAAATTTAAATAAATTTTCCTGGTAATATTTCGGTCAACCAAACAACTTTTTTTACATTTTCCTACCAAACTCACTTTTCAACCATTTTTCTAGTAATTACATTTCCCTAGTATTCAAAAAATTTCTCCTCAACCAAACGCCCTCAATACTATTGGTGAAATTCCATGTTGATCCTATTAAGAGAGAGTAGATTCAAGTTACATAATGCGACTAGCATGAATTTTCACCGAATAATATAAATATCTTTTCATATGAAAAAGTGGTCATCTGGTCATGTTATTTGATCACAATCACTTTTTAAAAATCATACATTTTTCTTTTTCTTATCTCATTCGTTAGTTGTTATTAAATAATATGACTACTTTTTCGTATAAGAAGAGCCAAATCCTATGAGATTATGTTACGAGTTGAGTTGCCTGACAATTATCTAGTTATGTCTCAAAAGCTCTCTTGTGTTTCAAGATTCATCTATTTTAGAGCCCATATTACCACTTGAGTCAACGATAAGAGTTTTCATCTATTTTAAGAATATTTATATATGTCACTTTCAGCTTTGAATAAAAATAAAAAATTAATTAAGATATTTTACAAATTCTTGGTTAAAAGCCATAATTTATTAATTATTTCTTAGTAAAGGAGAAAAAAAAAAGTTTATCCATCATTAATTTAATGTCAATCCTCCCCTAATTTAAACTATATTCATTTTTTTTTATAGGTCATTTCAGTCATTTGCCAAAAAATATTATTCATAGGCCAGTCAAATTGTCGTGCTTTCATTTCCCTCACATTCATACCAAGTGCGGAATTGCGTTTGCGTTTGCGTTGTGTATGTGGCGATGAAATCAAAACACACAGAATTAGGCACAACGAGATCAAGATCAAGAGTGGGAGTGGGAGCGGGAAGGAGACAGTTGCGATTTTCTTCGCGGAAGGTTATACGAATCATCATTGTATGTCTCGCCTTGTTTGCTATTTTGCCTCCAATTTTCTTCCACCTCCGTCTCAGACGCTTTCATCAGGTCATTTTTTATAAATACTTAACTCAAATCATTCATAATATGGTTATTTACATTTTATTTTACATTATTTTGATTTATTTTTTTATGATTTTTCATATTATAACTAAGTAACTAACCGGTGAAGTGTTAACTTGAATTTGATTGATTGTGCACTTCAGATGCAACGGAGAAAGTGTGGTTGGATTCGTGATCCTCCTCTTGTGTGTGCACATGGCGGTGATTCATCCAAAGCATCCTCCAACACTGTATGTGCTTTTGTAATTTTTGTAAGCCCAATGCGACGTGCTATTGGGCGAAAATCATGGTGTTTTTGTAATTTTTATTTATTCCACGGTTATTATAGTCTTTATAATTATAATTTTTTAATTTTTCAATCCCTCGTTGGGGGATCTTTTGACTCCAGAATAAGATTTTTAAGTCTTACTCATCATCTTAGCCGTTGATGGACGGAAATCAACGATTGTTATTTATAATGTAATTAATAATTAATTAATTAATATGACTTCCTAAACTATAATCGTTGGATGGACGAAAATCAAGGGCTGAGATAAGGAGAAAAAGTTATAAGTCTTACTCTGGAGTCAAATGATCTCTCTCCATATATATATTTATATGAATATATATATGGAGAAGGATCCGTTTACAAATTTTTTTTACAAATTTTTGCAAATTACACTATGTCTGACCGATAATACTTCACTCAAGAGTGTATTACCGGTCAGACATAATGTAGTTTGTAAGAGTTTATAAACAAGTGAATATTACTATAATTTATTTACCTTGTTTATGTCATGTTTTATTTTTTTATCTAATTTTATTTTATTTTGGATTCTTTTAATAGATGGCTGCTTATGTCTCTGCTCTTCATTCTCAAGTGGATTGTATAGAGATTGACGTCTCTCGTTCTTCAGATGGTGTTTTGTTTGCTCTGCATGACAGGTACTTTTAGGCTTCTCAATTTCTTATAATTTCTCAACAAGTGTTTTTTTATTAATTCTCATTGCATGTAGAGATAGCTTTATAGCCACTTTGAGATGAGATTAATTCTCAAATGATGCAGGCAGGGATTTGCAGCGGTTATCTGGAAACACTAGTTCTAAAGTTGGTTATATGACTTCAAAAGAGGTGAGACTTGCAGATTTTATTTTATCTCTGCAAGTTATTCTAAATGTTGCTAATGTATTCATGTTGGCATGTGAAATTTTTCTTAGACAATGGATTTAACTTGCAAAGCTGTTGTAGTATACCATATTAGCCTCTCCAGCATTTGTGGAATATCTTTTGGAAATCTTGATATTTGCATTTAGTAAAAGATAGAGAGAAAAAAAAACTCACCATATATGATCATTTTGACCTAAAACTAACTAATATATACATTTTAAAATCATTTCCTTTTATTCTCTTTTTTCCTTTACTGAGAATGCTTTGAGGCTTTAAAAGGAGTAACATTGACTAATATTGTCTTCAGTTTATTTCTGTAGATAAGAGAGCTTAGTGCTTCACGTATGTCTGTTGTGAAGTTTAATGATGAAAGTATACCTACAATTCAAGATGCTTTGATGGTATGATTCCAGGGTTCAGTTCTTTTCTTCCCTAAAAGTTTTTGCTATTTGGTATTTTCTTGAATAGTTTTAAATCTATTCCTTTCACCCCGTATTGGTTTGCTTGCTTTCTTTGATTATATTCATTTTCTGTTATTGTTGACAATTATCTCCTTACATGTTTTTACTTGTCCTTTCAATGCTGTATCATACTTTTTGACTGTGGTTCCATTTTATTTGTTTTAGTTCACGTCAAATTCAGTACGACAGATAATTCTAGACGTTAAAGTTGGACCCCCATTTTATGAGAAAGGACTTGCCAAAGATATTCTCTCTATTGTAAGTGTAATGCTTCTGTCCCTTTGCCTCGGCACTCAAATACTGTATTTACTAATGACTGTTAGTCCCTATTTTCTTTGCTGTCTGGCATGGTTACCGTATTAAAAGCTCGTTTGTTTCGCCTTTTAAAAAAAGTAACTTTTATCTCTTTCTTATTTTAGAAGTGTTTTTTATAAAAGTTAAAGCTATTTATATTTTTATAAAAACATTTAGTTTTTGAAAAAAATATTTGGCTTTCGACTTCTGCTTTTTTTAGAAGTTAAAATTTTTAGCATCTGAAAAAAGTAGGTTTTTGGCTTTTTTTGTAACTTCTGCTTTTTTTAAAAGCAGACATCCAAACGAACTAAAAATGAAAAGTACTTTTTTTCAAGAAAAAAAAGTAACTTTTGGAGAAAAAAAAGCTCATCCAAACGGGCCCTAAAGCGTTAACTTGCCTTGTAGTTGACAACCTGCTGAAAGTATGTATAAGTGGCATGATGAGAATTCCTCTGAAATTAGCATATGGGCTTTTTTTGACTTTTGGGATCATATTTGTTGAACGAGATCTTAAGTTTTAATTTTCTTTTCCTATCTTTTTCAATGTTAAATTTTGAAGAATTATATGACTGTCTTCTGTAGATTTCACTTCTTTCCCATAAATGTAATTTCCTTATGGGTGAAATACATTTGTCCCCCTGAAATTAAAGGGTACTATCACAAACTTCATACACCAAGTTCAAAACCCCATACTAAACTGTAAACTCCCTTATAGTTCCAAGACAATCTGGATTTAGTGAAATTAGTCGAGAATATTGATGTGTCTTGGACATGTGAAACCGAGTATGATAATGTAGTCCCAGCTGCAAGTGTGTCTTCAAAATATTTTCTGCTTTTGCAGCTATGTAATGTTAAAAGTGTCATTCAATATCTCTTTCAGGTGGAGAAGACAGAGTGTAGAAACTGCCTCATATGGGCTAAAAGAGACAATTTAGCAAGGGATGTAATTAGACTGTCATCAGAAATTACTGTAAGAAGCAGTTTATTTTGCTTTATCCGCAAGACTTTTTCATGTTTTTGTGACTAGAATGTTTTACCAATGGAAATGTTCTTTTTGTGTGATATGGCTTTTCATGTATTATTATTTTTTCTTAAGGCTTCATTTTGATCTAAAATGGAAACGGAAAAGGAATTTGGTTTATGCTTCTAAACAATTAACAATTGGCAGGGGAACATAAAACAAAAGATTGTGCACAGCTTTTGGCTTTATTAACTTATACACCTGCTTACTTACCATTGATTTTATGGCTGTTACCAGTGATTTAATATATACAGTGAATGATGTAAATAATGCTTGAGAGTTGGTGTACAATTGATGTGCAAATAACAGAATTCTTTCTGCAAAGCATGGAAAGACACAGGGCTGGTGTCAGATATGTATGCTGATTCAACACATTTTGAGTCTTTCATGTGGAAAAAAAAGCTGCCAGAGTCATCTACAGCATTCTGATAATTGCATTGCTAGACTAAAAAATACTAGTTTTGATGCTCTTACTTGAAGTTTAGAGAGTAAACTAGATCGGATGAAACTGTGTGTCTGTAATAGTACACACATAAGCTCTATATATATATTAGTGTCGGTATTAATTACAATGATTTTATTCCAGAAATATACAATCGTAATTTGGTTTCGAACTGATTCTACAATATATGCAATCACCTAAGATATTGTAACAGATATTCTAACACACCCCCTCAAGCTAATGTGTATATATCATATGTGTTGAGCTTGTCACATATATAGTTAACTTAGGGACCTTTTAGTGCCATAGCAAAATTATTTGCAGGTTGATGATCGGTGTTTACAAATGCTTTTGCTATCTCCCCTGATGGGATTTTCTCCCAAACAAAATGATAATCAATCTTAGTGTGCTAAAGCCTTTCATGAAATACAAGATTTGTAGATATATGAGTGCAATTTGATTGTCACATATGAGTTTCATCGGTTGTGGTTCACAAATGTTCAATTCTTTGATCAACTGTTTCAACTAAATGAGTTCACAAGTCATTGTTGCCATTGCCCTAGTCATCGTTCCCTGTGCCTGATGATTGGGCAACTACATTTTGCTTTTTACTTTTTCATGAAATCAAGTGTACTCAAAAAAGAACACAGTAGATCTGCCTGATGGAGAGCCTGCCCAGATAGTATCTCTGTAACTCCAATTCTCCAAATGTCCATTATCTTCATATAGTAAGCCTTTCCTTGTTTCTTCTTTGATATATCACAATATTCTAACAACAGCATACCAGATGGAGAATGTCGCACGTGGATTAATTCTGATCTTCTGTTTCTAACAAACAGAATTAGTTGAGTCTCTTTTACTTGTATCATAGTCTGTTGTAACATACTTACAACTACCCAAGGATTCCCTTAAGACAGCTATCTCCAACTGTTCTTAACTGACTGGATAAATATGAGAACTCTGTCTTGAGTTCATTGGATGAGTAGAAATTACACAAATTACACAGAACACCCTCTGCCTTCCTCTCTGCACTTTAATAGTTTCCTTCATTTTCTTTCATTCCTTCACTTTCTCACCCAAATACAAAGAAATGGGAAAAGAAAAACAAAAAACACAGAAAACATCTGCTCTGCAAAGCCTGCCAGTCTCTGCACATGTCTATTAAAGGAACCCCTCTAAATAGCCATGAGCTGAGCACCAGAAAATCCTCATCCTTAAATATTCACACATTACTCTATGTCCATAAACGCCTTAACTCTGCACATTTTTGAAAGAGTGTTGCCCTCTTTTCTCATCCCAAATCATGTGGAATGGCATATGAAAAAGTGCTCAAAATCGGGTCTAGACCTATCCAACGTTTTCAAAATACTAGTGCTCCACAAATAACTTGCAGTGGGGCAGTGTAAAAGTATATTACTAGCTGTGCGGGTAGGAGAGGAGCAAAACGCTAGGAGAGAGAGTTTTGGTGATATGGACCTTTTGGGCATAGATTTCTGAAGTGAGTTATCAATATGAAGGTTATCCTTGTTTGGAGAATGGGTGAGGAAGTGGATATAAGATTTACGTGAACACTCTGAACTGGCTGTGAGTCTCTGCCTTTATTGTACCTTATTAATTTTTTGTAATTATTAATGTGAATTATTTGCATCATTTCGAAGCTGCTAGCTGAAATGGTGTTGTAGATGTGTTACTTTAACATATTGTTTTTATCGTCCACTTCAACTTCCACATAGTTCAGTCTGGGATGATGCAGGTTGGCTACATTGTTATGAGGGAACCTTCTACTGGGGCGAGAACAAACTTGTTGAGGATGAAAGGCGCTGAGGTTGTCGGTGTCTACCACCCATTGATTGATGAAAAGCTTATGAGAGTTTTGCACAGGTGTGATTTTCTATTAAACCATCTATCATCTGGCAGCTATAAGCGTGGATGTGTGGTCTATTAATCATATTTTGCATTGTGGTTAACAGGAGGAACAAAAAGGTGTATGCCTGGACAGTTGATGATGTGGAATCCATGCAAAAGATGTTGTTTGAGCATGTTGATGCTATTGTTACGGGCAACCCAACTTTACTTCAAGGTCTAATGCAAGATACCAGAACACAATGTCTCGAAGGAGGTTATTCATTTACAGACTAACATTTGTTTCAATACATAACCTCTGTTTCAATGTATTAGGTGATAATTACATTGCTAATTGTTTGTGTAACCTCAATTCTTTACTTGACAATGAGCCGTAAAAAAGGAAGAAGAATATCATACAGGGCTAAGACACTTGCCTTTGGGATATTTAATGGGTCTTTAGTTAATGCTATTTGTCAATGGAACTATTGGCATCAAAATGGAGGACTGCAAAGGTCCTTCCTTGCTTAAGCAACAAATATGTATGGCAGCAACATGTGACATTGGTTGAGGACACTAACCTAATTACTAGGAAAATGGTTGGAAAGTGAGTTTGGTAGGAAAATGTAAAAAAAGTCGTTTGGTTGACCAAAATATTATCAGAGAAATTTATTTAAATTTGCAAAATCTATGTTCGGGAGAAACTTCGCACCTGTTTTTTCACTTCCCCAGTTATTTCAAAATACCATATCTCAAGTGGTATTCTGTAACAGTGAATTTCATCCAAAAATCAACACAAAAGTCATTTTTTTATCTATCTTATTTGCCTAGTATTTTTTTCAAAAACCTGAACCAAACGTGATATTTTTCAATATTCACTTACACTTTCTCATCAATCTCAAAATAAATCTTTTACCAAACACTACGTAAAAGGAGTTTTACTATTAGGGAGAAGAAAAATAGGAGTAACGGAAATCTTTGAACTTGGGTTGACGAGGAAGAATATAAATGTTACTATTAAGGCGAAGAAAACGGGGAGGGAATAATTCTGATTGAATGAAGGTCACGGGGGTCTTGAATTGTTTATACTAGTTTTATGAGAGAGAAAAAATTCGTTAGACATTTTTTTTTTATATGTATTTCATCCGTTTAATGTAAATAAATATTGTAAATTGTGACTAAGCAATTATAATTTTTTATTCTTAAAAACATATTTACCATACAACGTACGGAAAAATATCTATTTTATATTATGTGTGTTTATTTTTATATATTCCACGTACTTTTAATTTAGACAAATATTGTAGGAATATGAGTCTAATTTATAAATATATAATATGGAAATGTTGAATTCGGGATCTTTTTTGGCTACTTTATAAGTTCATTCATCTATTTTATACATGACTATTCAGTCATTTTATAGTTTATTTCTCCGTCTACCAAAAAAAAAAAGTTTATTTCTCCCCTAGTAAGTTGTTTATTAAAATCAATAAAATTTAAACTGTTAGCTCAAATTGATATGTTGGATAAAGGGAGTTTTTCCGCACATTTAAGAATGTGTGGAGTTTTTTCTTTTATCGTTTTTAAAAACATTAGGAATAAATTGCATATAATAAAAGATAATATGCTATTCATTATTTTGTTACCCATAAGTTCCTAAATTATGGGCCACAATTAAAAATATTAAGTTCTATTAGTTTTAATGTCTCATAAATTATATAAGAAGCGTGTGCCTTTAAAAACAAAAAGCTGAGTAACTTAAAAGTTTTTTTGATCCACTTTCAATTCAATCTAGGAAACCTCAAAACTTACCAATAGAACAATTTTCATTCTAATTCAAACTTTGGATAAGCGTGCTTAGCGTGTTACAAAATATTGATATATTTATAAGTTACAAAATTGAATTAAACATTATGGATTATGCATAATTTACCCAACGACAAACACTATTAGATGGATTTCTACTGAATGGAATTTTTTTTTACAGATATGCAGTCAAGATAGAGTAGATTTCAAGAATCAAGACTATTTTAAAAGTTTTTTCATTTTACTTTGGTCGGATAAGATTCACAGATTCGATAAATTTTAATCAAGATTTTTAAAAAATAAGAAAAAAGAACCGATGGTCAATGTGTTAATAATAATAATAATGACCTCATACATAGTAAAAATACAAAAGTAGTATCCTCAAATATTCACATTTCTTTGTTAAACGAATCGAACGGGAAAAATCAAAATATAAAATACTTCATTATATTATTATTATTATTATTTTCACTAGGAGATGCTAAGACGGATAAAATAGAAAAAATATAATTGAGATAATAATCTATCATAATAAATTAGAGTATTCACTCATGAGATGGGAACAATATCTTTAAATACTCTTTATTTTTGTCCAACACGTGTTTAAATATCTTCCCATCTAGAGTTCAATTCCACGCTTACAAAATAAAATATGTTTAGATAATTCCTAATTTTTCTTAATTTGTTTAATCAATTTTCTATCTAATTTAGTATTTATTTGCTTATTATATATATTAATAGGATTAATATTTTTCATGTTATAGAAGATAATTTTATCTTCAACATATAAAAAAAATGTGTAGGATCCATTTTTTTCTTTTTCTTTTCTTCACATGGATCCCAAACACTTTATATGTGTGTAGGAGATAATAATTTTATCTACTACAACATGAAAAATATTAATCTTTATATTAATATGCTTAATCAAATATCAAATTTTGATGGATATGATTTTACAAATATGGATGTACCAAATGTCAAATATTTTTTAAGCAATTCATTTTTATGTATTAAATAATTAAAAGTTGCTTAATCTCTTAATCTACTTCTCTTTAGTAAAAAATGACACCTATCTTTTTTAAGTTTTCATCAATTATATTTTTTTAAAGAGTAAATACTATTTTTGGTCCCTAACAAAATATTCGGTCCCTACTTTGCAAAAAAAAATTAGTTGTCTGGTCACTATGAAATTTAGAGTGGACCAATTTTAGTCCTTTTGAGGGACTAATGTGGATCTTTTTTGAATTTGTGAGGGACCACGATTTCAACGGGTCTACTTTGAATTTCTTAGGGACCTTGAGAATAATTTTTTATTTGTAAGAGACTAAAGTGAATACCGTATTTTTTGTTTGAGAATTAAAAAGGTATTTACTCTTTTTTAAAACAAATTGAACATATTTTGTTAATGGTAAAATCCTTCACGTCTAGGTCATTGCCCTCCATGGCTCCATCTCATGGACATGAAGGGATTAATCTTAGTATCGTTCAAATGGATAAAATAAAAAATAAAATTAGATATAGATAAAGTTGTAGCTTATGCATCATATTCTGCGGTTCTGGTGTGCAATGCATGTGGTGCCAACTCCCAAAACTCTCTTGCATCTGCCATTCATCAACACTCAAAACAATTTCCATAATACAATTCTCAATATCCATTTTCTTAATCCAATAAAAGATTATCATTACTGTCTCCCATTATCATTCAATTAATTAATTAATACACTGAAATTAATATTCTTTCTTTCTTTCAATTTTACGTATCATTCAATTTTACAGCTAGATTGTTTTTTTCTTTAAAAAAACAAAAAAAAAAAAAAAAATTGGAGTTGGGGGTTTCTTGTGGTAAGAGAGAAACCCTGATTCTGTTGTTTAGGAAGATTTGATCTTAATTTTTTGGAATACCCTTTAAAGTTCAAAGTTCAAAATTGAAACTTTGCACGAAGATGGCGTCTGGGAAGATTGGAATAACCGGTTGGTTCCACACGAAGATCACTGATCCTCTTCTCTCCATTCTCCGCAGGTACTCTTCAAACTTTTCACTTTTTCAGCTCTGATCTGCTATTCATTTGTTTGTTAATCACTGTTAGGCGTGATTCATCTGCAATGTTTTTTTTTTCCTTTGATTTTCCAGTTTGATGGTTATATGAGATCTGTTTCTGAACTCTTAATAAATGTTTCAAATGTCTTAAATTATTTATGTGTTGAAGTTTGTTCTTCATTTCAATCATTCTCTGATTAAAACAAATTAGGACTGTGAAGTTTAATTTTCTGGGTATATTTAAAAAAAAAAAAAAAATTGATGTGACTGACCTCTTATTGATGTTTGGTTAAGTTCAGACATGGTTGTTGTTTCTGTAATTTTATTATCTTTCTCCATATCTTTGGCAGCCATGTAAGTATGTTTTTTATGCTGAAAAATGAAAAATCAAATGCTTTTATGGAACAGAATTTGTCAAGTTTTTCATTTAGAAATCTTTGTCTATTTATTATATTCCATTACAATTTACAATTAGGCTTCTAAAGATAGCTGTGGTTAGATAATTTTGCTTTGTTTTTTTTTTTCCTTTTCAGAGGAGCTGAGCCCAACCAATTGGCTTTCTCTGCTGCTCTTGGCATTACATTGGGAGTATTTCCTATATGTGGTATGTTGTAATTAACCCACCTGGAATTATACCTGTCATTTATGTTGGTTTCCACTTTTACTCCAGTGAAGTAGATGATTTTTTTTTTCTTTCTTGCCACTGAACAATCTTCATCATGTTTACAGTTGTGAACTTGAAATTTTGCTCTTAGAACCGAGATCCTTTTGCGTGCAATCATATAGGTTGAATTGGATACTGTTTGGTGTCCAACATTCATGCTCAACAACTTTACAAATTTCTATTGATTTTCCTATTACTGATTTAAAATGTGGTGCACGTATATCACTTAGTGGAGAGTGGAGACCCTTCTCTCATACATGTATTTGAGAGAAATGAAGAGTTGAAGAAACTGTTGACAGCTTCTGAATTATAAAATATTATTCTTTTTTTGAGATAAATGTAGAGTGTTACTATATAGAGCGTCAATTATATATTTAAGTCCTAATTGCAGACAAGAATGATAACTTCAGAAACATGACTAGGTGAGTTCTTTTCTAACTCAGTAGGCATCTTAGAGAGGTGATTACATTCAATATGCTGGTTATAGGACCAACTAAGAGAAACTGCATGCTAGGTGTACATCAATTTTTGAATTAGTGAAAAATGAATGGGTAAATGACCAAGTTGGTCAGCCAAATGGAATATTGAACTTTTGGGGCTGGATGTCAACATAATTTCCATTGAAAGATGGAGACAACAAATTCATCACAAGGGACAATTTGGTTCGCAAAATACCTTTCCTTAACAAGCGCACTCATTCTGATTAAACAGTTATTATTATGTCAACCAATATATAATGTCTCGGTTTATTAACCGAACCATTGATACTGACACCAGATGCAGAGCAAAGTTATTCTATCTACTATTACAAGTTTTTGTATACATCATAGTAAAAAGTGATTGTATATAAAATGGGTAATGAGTTTGGAGTGATTGTTGTTTCTGTAGTGTTGTATTGTATCACTATCAATGGTTCATTTTGTTTTTATATTTGGATAAATTATGTTATCAAATTTATTTCTAGTTTGGTTAATATTCTTAGACATTATACCAGTTAACATAATATAAAATTATGGTTAATTCTATTTTTTTACTTTTGTTAATTGAAATCATCAATGGACTTGGTAAGGGAGGCATTCTGGAAACAATATAATTCCTCATGATATATATGGATATGTAGGAAATCAATTACCATATTCCTAAGCATAGCGATGCTTACGGGCTGGGTATCCCAAAATGAAAATTGGCTGCTGCATAGAGTACTGGTTTTCTTTGTCAGAATTTTCTTAAAGTGGTTTCGGACAGAAAGTGTAAGCAGCTGTGCATCCAAGTCAATATCTATCATGGATTTTCAGTGGCTCTCTCGCATCATTCATCTGTTTGCCATGAGGTTTAAACAATCAATTTTAAATTAATTTGTCTAGCATAACCACATCTAGGTAACCACAGTTTAGTATTGGTGGCCGCCTTGCATAATCAGTTTGTTGTTCATATCTCTCTCTCTTTATGTGTGTGTGTGTGTGTATATATATATATATATATATATATCCAAAACTATGTCTTTCCATCAACTCTAGAGATGCAACTCGATTTCCAAAAAAAAAAGAGATGCAACTCGTGGAAAATGCAGATTTGACTAACATAACCCCAAAACTACGTATGATTTCAAGATGGGGAAGCAACTACATATTTAAATTTAAGTATAAACTGATTTAACCTACGAAATGCATCGCAAAATGGCAAAACATTTAGAAGAAGCAAAATATGCTGTCAAATAGATATATGAGAAAGTAAAATGACTTGAAATGTAGCAGTTCTTCTACAATTTGTTAGTCACGCTAATTCTTTTCAAATAGGTGTGACTATATTCCTATGCGGGGTGGCTATTGCATTGCTTGGATCATTTTGCCATGCTCCGACTGTGATGCTTGCAAACTTTATTGCTACTCCCATAGAGTTGAGGTAATGTGCATTTAGTGCAATCTTTGCGTCTACTTTTCATCTTTATGGTGAATCATTGTACTTATATTCTGTTGATGATGTTACAATCAAGATATTTTATGCAAATATATTTTAAACAACTTTATGATTCAACTTTTGTTAGAAGGGGTCTTTTTTCTTTCTTTTTTGATGTCTCATGAAAAACATATATTTTCAAATCAAATTGCATCCTAGGAGGACAAATAGAGGCTCCAGTGATAAATGCATCAAATGGAAGATAGTCCAATCAGGAAAATCCAAGAAAACTTGATAATAAACCATTAAAGAAGATTTTATTCTAAATTGTTTCATTGAAATTTTGTTTTTGATAGAGATCAATGACGTCGATAGATCCATGTTGCCAACCCTACTTAGTGGAATGCGGTTTGGTTGTTGTTGTTGCTTCCTCAGGGTTCAGAGTTAAGGCGGGTTGGACAATAAATATGTTGTAAATCATGTTAAAACAGAGAAACAATGTTTTTACTTTGAGAAAAAGGTTTCCAAATAGGAAATCCAAGTTGAATCACCCACTGTCCCTAATCTGTTTTGTATTAACATTGTTTTGTACCGTCAAAAACAATGAAAATATACGGACTTTTTTAAATTATGCTCATACGTCTTTTCATGTCCCTGTTTTGTCATGTGTTTGAAAGTTAGGTTCATTCTTATTCCCAGGTCAATGTTGTTTTCTTTCATAATTGACTATATTATATATGCATTTCAGTCTGGTTGTGCCCTTTCTACGCTTTGGTGAAGTTATCTCTGGTGGACCTCATTTCCCTTTGACAACTGATGCTTTAAAGAAAGTTATTACTGGTCAAGCTTCACATGAAGTCATATTAAGTGTTGCCCATGCGGTAGGTCCTACTGTACCATAGATTTAGATATATTATATAAGTATTTTCTTCTGAATGTATTGAAATTAAGTATTATAGATAACAGTTATGCACAATGGAGTTAACTTTTTTGCGATGCATTGACAATAAATCTTTCTATGCTTGTGGCCCTTCTGTGCTGTATTTTGGGGTGTTTTTGTACCTAATGATGCAAATTCCAACATCTGTTGCAATTCAAGTTTACTCTTTGGGTGGGAAGGGTAGTGTTTCCTTGTGTAGTATCTGACTTTCATTACATGCTTATATAAATATGGTTGCAAATAATATATTGGCCATAATGCATGACTGGGGTTTAATCAAAGTGAGAAGAAATGGTGGGGTTCAATGCTAGTAGAATACTTTGGTAGCTTGGGAATTTAATGGTAATCATTTTCCATGAAATACACTGGCTAAGATGTTCATAATGCTATCAAGCTTGAATCCATGTCTCTTTCCTTTTTTTCCCCAGGTCAGTGTTGAAATTTAAAATCTAAATTTATCTATATTATAGAACCTAATGGAGATACTTTATGTCTGGTAGATGGTTGGTTGGATTCATATGAACGTTACTAATCATGGAGCAGCATATAGGATTGAGATGTTGCCACTTAATGAATGCTTAAAATCTGACTGCTTGTAGTATCACACCTAGCAATATTCCACTGATTGTCTCTAACTTATTCTTAAATCATTTCTAAATTCACTTGATATTGTACAAATGTCTTTCTGCTTCAATCATTTTGCCTTTTGATTTCATTTCCAAGTTTATACAATGATCACATTTGAAAATTAATTGTTTATCATTTTTTTTTTGCAGTTACTAGGGTGGCTGGCTGCATCTCCTTTTATTTTGGGAACTCTATACATAGTATTTTTACCATGCTTCAAAATTCTGGTTCATAAATTCTCAAGTGTTCCTTCAAGTCCAAAGAAGTCGCTCCATCCACACGCAGAAGTAAGGCTCAAGGTAAGGGATGTCTGACAAAGTACTAACAAGGTCATAGTCACTAAATCTGCTTAGTGAAAGTGATCAGTCATTCATTTGTTCTTTCGTGACACAAATTGTACATAATGAACAAAGACTTGCAATTGTTTATAATGCTGAGATTTATGTACCCCATGTTGTAAATTATGTGATTATCAAAAGGGCAAACCCCGAGGACAAGGGTGGTGTGAGGGGTGTAAGGGTTGATTATAGGTGGTCTTGCCGTAACATTTTTACAAAGAGGCTATTTCCTAAACTTACCGCCTGTCCAAAACTCGCCCTTTATGTGATTATCTAAAGGGTTTAGTGTTTCTCGTATTGTATGAGATGAATTTATTTCCTACGTACATAAAAGTGTGTGAAGCTTATATTTTCTCTTTTGTTCATATGGGCTCCACACATTTTTAAATGTATATAGAAGATAAATTTATTATCTCCTATAACATGAGAAACATTAAATTAAACCTTTATCTAAATTAGTATAATATTAGCTATGAGAATTTTAAAGACCCTAAGTAATAGGGATTTCAAACTCTCATATAGACAGGCTCATGAAGATAATCTAAGAAGCACAGCTAATATGCAATTTCCATTTAGTGTTTTTTTTTTTAAAAAAAAAGGTCATCAGTAGTTGGGGGAAGAGACATGAAACTTCTTCATGGATTATGATTTCTTTTACCTAATATATCGGGGAATAAAATGTCTAAGTTGTGATTAAAATGATTGCCCTTGGATAGGGTGCATATACCTTATGTCACGATAACTTGAAAAGCTATATACAAACGTGCGTGGAAGTGATTTACTTGGATATTAGAAATGAAAAAAAGAAAAAAGCGTATGAACTTGTAGATCAATGGTCACAAATTACAATGCATATAATTTTTTTGGTGGGTAGTATAATTTTTTAGTATTCACTTACCATATCAAGTTCAAACATTTAAACAAAATATGAAATTGTAAAAAAATGCTAATAAAACTAGCAAACTTGTGCAATTTATTCATGAGTCTTTGAAAATGATGTGTTAAATACTAAAATTGTCAACAAACGCGTGTAAGCATCAATGAAAAGTAGATATCGAAAAACAAATCTTAAGACAACTAAAATTTTGATCTATATCGTAAACAAAAGTAATTAGAAATATTAAAACCATTAAAATTTGCACTCCATTTTGTAATTATTTCTTCCCTAGAATAAAATTTCGTTCTTCGTAGAAAAAATAAATAAATCACAACAGGAATAAAAAAAATGATAAAACCCATTGATATAAGACAAACGTCAAAGCATTAAATAAGGTCTTCTAGGTGAAGTCATTAAGACTTAGAATATGAATATAAGCAATGATGCACGGACACTGACACGGGACATGACATGTCGTCACGTTAATCTTAAAAAGTAACATATTTTGACACGTTGGAACACATTTTAATATTAAATAATATTTTTAATATATATAATATAATTTATATTTAATAGATATAACAGTCCATAATAAATCATATAACCAATCAAATATTCAAATTTCATAACATAAATATAAACAAAAATAATTTTTCGTACCTTATTAATTTTTCATGTCAAATTTCATAACAGAAAAAAATTAATTTATAAATGGTTTTTTTATTTTTAGTTAATAAAATAAGATTAAGACTAAAAAAAAAAAAAAAACGTGTCCGAGCATTGACCACGTGTCCAAAAAAATTGACTGCGTATCGAAAAAACATGTCGGAACGTGTCGGAGAGTTAACTACGTATCCCAAAATATTGACCGCGTCCCACACACACAATTCCAAAAAAATGACGAGTCCGTGTTTTATAGACTATAAGTCTATAATCAAGCCCCATTTTGGGTTATTCCATTCTAGACCAGGCCATACATGTCAGAATAATACTTGACAGAACAGAACAGAACAAGACATGAAACTAAAAAGTGATACATTTTGGCTTCATAAAAATCATAGAACCGAAGAGAATAAGATAGAACGTTCTATTTTATTATGTCCACGTGCCAAACGCTTTCATAAGTTAATAACTGGAAGATATAGGAATGAACTTTCTGCACTAATTCAATTGACTAACTCTATTCCTGTCAGAGGAAGCCCTTCATGAAGTTGAAGAACCACATCACCAACAGCCTGCAGTAGAACAGGCATGAAAAATTATCACATTTCACAATGCGAGTTTCTATGCTCTCTCTTTTTAATCAAGAATTCAATAATCCAATGGCATAATATGATTCAGAAAAGTAAAGTGCAATTTAAGCATAGTGAAAATAACTTTATTATAGATCCAGAAACTTCCGGGAGAAGCAGCATATGAAATAGCCCCACGCACCTTAGCCATGGATCTATAAGAATGTTCTGTAACACCAGCAACATGAGGAGTCATGATAACATTCTTAAATTTCAATATTTGATCATCAGGGTCAAATGGCTCAGTCCAAGCAACATCAGTGCCTAATCCTCCTAAATGGCCTGATTCAAGGTGGTTAACCACAGCCTCATAGTCCATAAGACCCCCCCTAGCAACATTCACCAGAAGGGCACCCTGAAATGTAAAATTAGATAGAAATTCATTAAAAGTTACAACTAACAAGAAATAACGATATTTACATCAAAGTTACTTTTCTTCTTTTTATGTCAGAAGGAAAACATGATAATAGATTCGCAATGACTTGATATCCGTGTTAGATACAAAAAGAATATGGTAGAAACAGCCAGCAAAACTTACCAGGACTGGCTATAATCTTTTCCACTATTTAATCTTATACGAAATAATTATTCACGTTTGCAACCATATTTTCGAATTGACATCCTCTCAAGTTTGTATTCTTTGCCCTTCTTTCAGTGAAAAGATTCTTATGTTCCAATCCACATCACACATTCTTTCAACTTAGATTCTGATTATGAACCATAAAATACATGAACTACTTGATGTGCACTTTAACCCATCAGTGGCTTTCATTAATCCTATCATAAGTTATTCAATAGTGTCGGTTTGAAATAAATCTTACATCGGTGTCTCGATAGATCCTAACCCAATATATGTACCAAATACAGAATGACATTGATGCATGTCCTGGCATCTTGTACATTCCTTATGAGCTTATATGCAACAAAAAGAGAAATAATTAAATTAGATAAGTTCATCTAAGATGGTAAACAAACCTTTTTCATAGAAGATATGAAGTTATTGTTTATGATACCAGCCTGAAAAAACATCGTATCCAAATAAGTATATAAACAAAAAAAGTCCATTCAAATTATGCTTAGTTCACAGCATGCATTTAAAAAAAAAATAAAAAAAAACAAAAAAAGCTAGAAGAACTTGTCATTGAAGCTTTTGAGCACAAGCGAATTCGACCTATTACTCAACTTGAGACTCTGCATCAGTACATCATTCACTGCTAAAGAAAAAGAAAATAACACAGATTTCTAAGCCAACAAAAGGAGAAAAAGGATAGGATAAAAAACACATAAGATGCCTTTTTACTAGTTTGTCAACATCTGTATCAGCCATCTACCAAAATCTTAAAACCATATGTCTTCACAAATCTCATAAGCTTAGAGTGAAAAGCAAATGTGGAATCAAACTAGCTAAAAGTAACAGAGAAAATGGAAAGTTAACCAAAAACAAATAAATGAAGGATTCGGAAAGGTTCGACCGTTTCACTGTTTAATCTTAAGCAGCAAACAACAATGTCAGCTTTTCTTGCAAAGTCGTATATATCTTCATGACTACCCTTCACATCAACCAGATCATCAACTTCGTCTTCAACAAATAATACAAAACATGTTAAGAATTAGAAGAACAAACTAGACTTATATACCAATAATTATCCAAAGCAATTGGGAAGGAAAATACCTCTGCTTAATTTGCTAGTGTGCTGTGTATCTGAAGCCCAGCTCCGCTTTGTAGCAATAACTTTTACACCAAACGGATGCAATCGCCGTGCTAAATCCATTCCAATGTTCCCAAAGCCCAAAATGAATATCTACATGATCATGAAAAAATAGTCTTCCATAAACAGTATATTCAACGATTGCAAACACTACCACCATGTGAAAATTACACCACGGAAGACCCTTATACTGTTCACCATGACTGCCTCACCTCTATTTATATGTAGTACAGATAACAAATTTGGGTATAAATGACAACATGGTGATAGGGACGATAGTAAGGTAGCATCCCTCATTACTTATTGTACTTTATTAGTGATGACTATCCCAGTATCCAAGTCAAAATTTAAGCAATGCTGAGGGGGGGCTCTAGTAAGGGCTCTCACACCTAAAACTGAAGTTCGGATCTTCTCACATACATTTCAGAGCTTCTCCAGGCACAGCAGAGAAGCATTTGAATAGTACATCATTATTATCATTTGTTTAACTCAACATTATTTAAGAAAAGAAGAAACTTAATTCAATCAACTTTTGGTTATCAGGAAGACAGGAACTCCCAAGAAGAAGAAGCTATATATATATATACAATACACATTATCCATAGTATTTTTTAAGTCCCCAAGCCAGCTGTCAAATAAATATTTTAAATCATCTATCCTCTTCGACCTCTTTTCAAAGTACAAATGACAGATTTTATTTAGCTAGAATAGGTAGAGATCCATTTTAATCAATGCATGTAACTATCCTCATGCATCTAACCAGTATGAAAAGCTATGTTCCATCACATAGGAAACAAGAATAAAAAGTAGTGAGGCATACAGAATATTATTCGTTTTCCAAGAAGAATCAACACACTCACAGTTTTCCCCAATAACGTTTCAGTAATTGGCTCTCCAAGCTTCTTCTGTTGTATTGAAATTTGCAGTTCATTCTGCAAGAAATTTTTTAAAAAAAAAGACGAAAACAAAAATTAAAAAGGAAGAAAACAGAAGAAGTGAAAGAATTCATGAAGAGAAGGAAAAGTGATTTTGTCAGAGATTCCCTGGAGATCTAAGACTTTGAAGTTGGACAACAACCAATTTCGGAGACATTAAGTAAGCATTTGAGAGTTGTTTTATACTTTATTACTTGTATTTTGAAACCCCTGACTATGGTGGTCCCCGTTTGAGTAACTTATAGAAACCTGTGCCCCATAAATTAGAAAGAACGAGGGTACATTTTTCATTTCAAAATTGAAGACACTATACTTGCTTACGGAGGAGACCCAGCATTAGATATATGGCCATTTCTGCACATGAAGATGAATTTCCCGTAACATCACTTGGGATCCTAGCAACTTTGATTCCATGCTTTGTTGCAGCATCAATATCAACACCTTGGAGGAAAATTCGTAATTTATCAATTTAACATCAAAATGAGGTTTAAGAAAGAAATCATTAACATGCAAAAATAATCCTAATAATAAATATAGAAAAAATGAAGCTTCCTGAAATTCCTGGCAAAAGCTCAACCAACAATAATCACTGTACCTTCCAGCCCAACACCATACTGCATTATAAGCTGCATCTGAACTGCACGAGAAATTATGTCCGAATCTAGCCTCATGCTTTTTACTATGCAAGCATGATAGTTGGAAATAGCCTTCGGCACATCTTCCAAGGGAAGAACATCAACCTACAAATGCAATAGACAACTTATTAAACTAATCTAAAATTAAATGGAATATTTCTCTCATTGTAATACAAAGATCATATAACTGCAAAGCCTGAACAATCTAGAAATTGTATTAGCTTAAACTACAAGTAACTGCATAGACAAGAGTTAGAATAATATATAAAAAAACAGATAGTGTAAAAGCAAAAGCACCAGTTTTAGTGATAATCAGATTGACATCCTATCCATTTTAATTTAACCATAATTACTCTACATTAATCGGTGCCATAATGAAGTAGTCTAAAGGAAAGCTTGCCATTCAAACACATTGTCAAAAGGGTCATTCTAATTTGATATTAGCTCTAGTTCAAGAAGCCTAGCCTTCTTTCTTCGTAATTCTACCGAACAGGGTCAATGCATCTTACTCTAGGTCAAATAGGAAGCCATTTCAGGTAACAAAGCAATGTTTTGAGTCATCAAATTCCTAAGATCGAAATCCCCTTTATATTTTAGTCCTGCAATAACCTACCAACTGAGTAGATCCCTTCTCTAGTCACCCACACCAGACCAAAGCAACCCCTCATAATTTTCCTTCAAGCCACTCCCGCTTAATCTAAAAACGCAAGAAATAACTTCAAAATAGCAATCATTTATGATTATGAAACTCTGATACTACAATTATTAAGACATTTGAGTTACACAGCTAGGATCAAAGGTAGAGAATACTACATCATTCATAACTAGACACAGTTGTAAGTAACTGTTGACTATAAAGATTCAAGACAATCTGTGATGCAGCAGAAACCACATTGATCCTAGAAGTAAACTTAGCATAGTTTCAGCAAAGCCTACAATGCAGAACAACAATCATCATTTTCTCCCAAACATAAGCAAATTGTAGACTCCTGAGTTTTAAAATGAGCTCCAGGCAACACAGCAAATTGAAAATTTCAGAAGCAGAAATTAACATACTTCTTTCAGAAAAAATAAAATAAAAATTAAGAAAATTGGCACAAATTTATGGAAAAGAAAATTTCATTTATACCCATCGTTCTTCTTCCACACAACTTTAAACATTAGCATAGGAAAAGAAAAAGAAAAAAAGAGTAATTTTAAAATAAAAAGAAATGTCAAACAAAAGGTACAATACAATACAATATATATATGTAAAAATAAATGAGATAATATATAAAAAAAAAGTACCTTGATAAATGAATGATTGTGCAAATACTGTGCTGTATATTCATGAGAAGCTGGAAAGTGAGGTCCACAAAACAAAACACGAGTCATTTGTTTCTTAACATCCTTTCTCTCCATCAGATCTACCCTACACCTACACGGCCGCAATATTCAAGTTGCCAGTAATTTTATTGGGTTAGAAAAATAAAATAAAAATATATTCCAAAAGTAAAATAAATTATATGTTGTCACTTATTTTTTATAAACTCTGATTATAAATCTTTTTCTCTACCCTATTGTTATTATTATTATTATTATTATTATTGTTTCTTCTTTTTTACATTTTTATTATCATTATTGTTTTTAGAAATGAGAGAACTATGGGGGTTAAACTTGAACATAAATTGTACCTGCTTCCTAAGCTTTGAGTAGAAAACCTGGTGCCAACAAGATCCCACTGCCACCGTCGTGTGTTACTGTTACAACCTGCCACAGAAAACATAAATTTCCTGCCACCAAAAATCCCCCTCAAGAGACTCTCTCTTCTCATTTTACTATATATTCTTCCTCACCACATCACACAGTGGCGAGGACTATCAAAACCGACAAAACGTACTATATTTCATTATTTAATTAGTTTCGCTGGTACTGAAGCCAAATGACATTATTAATTTATTTTAAATAAACTATCTACACTTATGGGTTTAACGTATAGTGTTCGGTTCGGGAGAAAGAAAAAAAAAAATTACCAAGGAAACGTAATTGATAGGGAAATAGTTGAAAAGTAAGTTTGGTAGGAAAATGTAAAAAAAAGTTGTTTAGTTGACCGAAATATTACCAGGAAAATTTATTTAAATATGCAAAATCTATATTCGGGAGAAACTTTACACCTGTTTTTTCACTTCCCCAGTTATCTCAAAATACCACATCTCAAGTGGTATTCTGTAACAGTGAATTTCATCCAAAAATCAACACAAAAGTCATTTTCTCATCTATCCTATTTGCCTAGTACTTTTTGAAAAAATCTGAACCAAATGTGGTATTTTCCAATATCCACTTTCACTTTCTCATCAATCTCAAAATAAACCTTCAACCAAATACTACCTGAGTATTAAACCTCAATGATACGGACCAGCTAAAGCCCAATATTGATGATCAAAGTCAGTCCAAGCCCAAAGTTCAACTATAATCCAAGCCCAAATTCACAGATCAGAATAACTTCTCTTAGTCTTATAACTCCAAATGCAGCTGATGCAATCCATACACGTGAACTGAATCATAATAGAATAGGCAAGTAGTTAATCTCTTTTTTTAATTTTTTTTTAGTTATAAGCTACTTATAAATATAAGTTAGGTCAAACATATTTTAAAAAAAACAATTATAATGAAGCTCTCTTTTTATAATGAAGAAGAAAGTTAAAAGTTCTTAGGAGGAGTTGTTTTTTAAGCTCTTATATGCTTTTCTTGAATTGTATTATTTTTTTAAAATGAATAGCTATAAAGATAGAGAGAGATAATTTTCTTAAAATATGTACTTTTCAGTAACTTTTAAGCTAAAATTTTTATGTAATTACCAAACAGCTTTTAGCTTTTTTTAAACTCTTTTTTTAACTTTAGCTTATAAATAGCTTACACTTTAAAAAAAGATAATTCAAATAGACTCTAATTGTTTAGATAATAAGTTAGTTTTTACTCAGCATTAATTGCGGAATTCAGTTTTGTAAGAATAACAATAATGTCAGTGTATACATATCTGAGTGTAACCTTCTTTTCTTGAATCAATGAGAATAGTTGCAGATCCTTTCATTAGGAGCACAATGCTCTCTGTCTGCGTTTTTTCTTTTCTCAATATTAAGAGATAAAATTATCTCCTATGCCTACATAAAAGTATTTGGGGTCTATGCTTTATTTTCTCTCTCTTCTCTTCACATGGGCCCCACACACTTTATCTCTTACAACATGAAAAATATATTCCCCTTATAAATAACTAGTAAATCGGAAAAAAAAAATTAAAATATTATTATTTAAATAAAAAATATAAAAACAAAGTATTTTGGAACTAAATTACAGACATATTACACTCAGTCTCACCCAAATTGGGCATGAGCACTCTCGCCCAAAATGGGCGAATTACCCTCGTTAATCTCGCCTAAAAAAGGCGAGAGCTGGCACACTAATTTGCCTTATTTGGGCGCGACTCAGCCCCTTAGACTGCCTAATTTGGGCACGATAAGCTCAGTTATCCCAAGTTTAAACCTCTCTCTTCTCCACACTCTTCACAACTCTTTTTTATGATAAACACCCACTTTTAGATACATTAACTATTGCTTATTTGTACTCTCTTTTGTGTTTTTTGTTTATATATTTAAAAATGAGTTCACATTTGATTCTATTCGTGTTGTTTTATATTATAACGGTAGGAAAGTGGAATGCCAACGTGGTGTAATTTTTGAAGGCAAGAAAAGGCCAACGTGTATGGAGCGCAACTCAACTATTGAACGAACTGTATCAGAAAATTCGTCAAAAATTAGCTCTCAAAGATAACCAATCTATCAATATGGTCACGACAATAACATGGTGCGAAGAACAATACATTATAATGCAAGTTGTGGATGATGAAGATGTAGATATGGTAATGGGAGAATCCTTCAACCAGTCAAGGAAATATTTCTTAGAGTTGTACATGGATATTGCCAAAGCAGAGGATGTTGTTTTACCCATGAGGTCAGGTTCTTTCAATTCCTCATATAATGCATTATCATTTGTTACTCCAGTTGTTAATCTGTCCGTGGAAGATGAAAATAACCCTACTTGGGTTATGGATGACGATGATAAAAATATCGTAATGGAAGATTGTCTTCTTGCCAAGGATGCTAGTGCTTCGGATAATGATGAGAAACGTGGTATGCGTGCAACTCAAATCTAAGAATAACATGATGTGGTCAATTCCCAGAACATAATGACATGGCCCTGACTCAATTACCACAACATTATGAAGGTATGTTAGTAAACAACATATATATACATATATAACTAGTTTTGTTTATGTAATTTTTTTTTGTTACTAGTATTAATTCTTATATGCAGGTGACGATGTTACTCCTTTTTGGGATGGAATTCCACATTTCACATACATTGATTGGGATCATCCGAGCGAGCTTTAATATTTATGAAAAAGACCCTTGACATATTTCGTAACCTCAAAACATTTTCAACAAGTCGAGGAATTACATTAAAAGTGATTCGAGGCAAGTAGGAATGCTTTACAACTCAAAAAGCTGCAATATTTATGTTATGTCAAGAAAGTATTCGAAAGCTTTCTTGACTGTATTCGAATACTTATGCTATGAACAAAGTATTCGAATACCTTAAGAAAAGTATTCGAATACTTCACGAAAAATATTCGAATACTTAATGGGCAGTAAGCATTCCAACGACTAGTTTCGTACCAACACCTATATAAACTCATTTATTACGATCCAGAACACCAAGAATTATTGTTCCATTGATTTTGCTATCATTCTTGATTATTCCCATTGAATCAAATACATTCATTACTTGTTCTTACTCATATTGATCATAAAACTCCTTTGAGCTTCATTCTTGTGTCATTGATCAATACCCACAAGTAGGGTTGGCAAAAACGAGCCAATTCATCGGGTTGGCTCGTAACCTGCCAAAAAATGAGCCGGGTTGGGTTGGCAAAAATGAGCTGCCAACCCGAACCGAGCCAGCTCGTGAAAAAATGAGCTAACCCGCGGGTCAAACGAGCCAGCTCGCGGGTTGAGTTTTTTTTATTATAAAAAATAAAAAATATAATATACAAAAATGAGCAAAACCCACACATGCTGTCATCATTTTTCTTCCTTCTCTAAACCTAAGTCCCTAATCTTCCACATCCCTGCCATTTTTATATTGTTAGGCTGTGTAGGCTCTATTTGGTTCAAATATCTTACCCACTTGGTAGCAAGTGGTTCTAATTGTTTCTTGATGTTGATGCAAATTTATTGTGAAGAAAATTTGAAACTAAAATATTTTGCTTTTATTTCTCATTTTGTAACCATTTGTTTAAGCTGATGGAAGCCACATAGCTGGTGCATTAATACTACAGGGTCATTTAAATAGGCTAAAAACGAGCCAACCCGCGAGTAATTTTTGAGCCAACTCGCGAGCTATTTTTTCAACCAACCCACGAGCCATATTTTTAAGCCAACCCTAACCCGACTCAGGTCGGTTGGGTTGGGTTTTCTGGCTCATTTTTTTCGAGCCAACCCTAATCCGGCTCGTTTTTTTCGGGTTGAATGCGGGTTGGGCCGGGTCGGACCGTGTTGACACGTTTTGCCAACCCTACCCACAAGCTTCAACTTGTATAATATGTACTTCAAGAGTACAAGTGTAACACTCCATGTATACCCGGAATATTAACATTACATCGTATTAAGCTGTGCTTAATTAAAAATTTGCGGAATATTATTTTTCTTTTCTGATTATGACATCATTATACTTAGCCAAGTTGATTACTTAATCAATTTCATAAAATATCGCCTGTATGTAAATTGCAAAGACATCTAACTGAAAATACCTCAATATACAAATAAAGTGTGTATCTAAATCACGGATCTACAACTCGTAGTCGGGACAATAATCCTGATACATTAATACAACTCCAAATAAAACAAGACATAAACAAGACTATGTGTCATGGACAATCCCCATGCTCACCAAATCAACAGCGTCTCTACATATAATCCAAAACCATAATAAAAGCTAAAAGCATAAAGCAACATGCATATCCAGCATCCAACAAGTCAGCATATAATATCAACACTAACTAACTCAGCTCCGGCCTGCTGCCGCCTGAGGTCTCAACCCCAACATTACCTGAACCTAAAATAAGCGCCCCAAACGTGGGGTGAGATCTCTAACAGAAATCTCAGTAAGACAAGGGGTCCTCAAGGATCTTCCACCCCAAGCTCACTTACATGTGCAATATAAGTTCTAAAAGCATTTATATTAATATAAGTTCCAAAACTATGCAGTGTAACAGATACTCATGACATGTGTGTTAATACTATTCTACTGGCCAGAGAAATGCAGGAATACGTCTATTACCTACATATAGTACAAGGAACACCACTTGCACCTCACCCACAGCCTCACCATCTTGTATGTACCACATACTCAGGCTTACCGTATAGGTGGAACACCACATGCATATCATAAAGGCACTTGCATATAACAGCTCAACAGCATTTCCAAAACATCAAAAGCATGTAACACAGCATGCATATAACCATACCCCCATGGGACATGGTGGAACCACAACATGACTAACCCGAGGACACGAAAGCTTACCTCTAAGCTAGCTATCCAATGCCATAAGCTCAAAGTCCAACACACAGCAGATCACAATCTGATTTAGGACCAGCAAGTATATCAATAACATAGCTCATAAGCATAAACATAAAGACTACGTTTCTTTGTTACGTTTTACGTCTTAAGGCTTCCCACAAAGCCACCAGCCCTTAATTCCTTGATTCTGACTTAGTTAAGTATTTACAGAAGTTCAACTCCATCAAAATAGGGTCCACAAACCCATA